ATGAAGAATTAGATGTAGAGAAGTAGTTTTTAGATCCTACCATATGCACTCTAGAGTAAGGGAGTGTGTTAGATAATTTAGATCCTAAAGATACTATGAGTGCTAATATTACATAAGACTTGAGAACTATATCAATGTCCAAAAAGTAGTGGACGCAGCTTATTCATTATCCAATACACTACCGTTATAGATTACCGTTGTAAACTAAACTACACTATATGTACAAGCACTCATACTGATTAAAGCAGTATGAGTGATCACAAATCAGCAATTCCAATAATTATTATAATGTTTGATAAGGTACTCCAACTTCATAGTTTTTTCTCTAACCCTTGTTAAATACATCACACATTTAACTAAATACACCACACACCGCACACACCATAAGATCCTCACTTGCGCGGTCGAGGGTGGTGGAATCTAGGGTGCCCTTTCAAGGAGGGGGTAGGGGGCTGGGGATGGGAGGGGGTACGGCGGCAACGAGGTTCCGCTCCCTCGGGGCCTTACGAGGCGGTCCACCGCACCAAGGCCACAAGTCCGGAGGGATAGAAGCTATGGGGGTGTGGTGTATTTAACAATTCCCTAATTTATATAAGTGTGTATTTCCTTAACACTTGCAAAGAAAGCATGGATTTGATTCTAAACATATTACAGTTTACTTGTTCTTGCTTTCATCTTGCAGGTTTCCAGGTACAATTATCCCGTGAAGGTTTCAACCTAGAGACTCTAATACTTTCATTGATCACAATAGCTATTGCATTGACGAAAGTTGAGAATCTTTCTACAAATTATTCTTGCAATAAAGCACGACATTCCGCTAGTATCACTGTACACTGACTAGTTCAGCGTGTTCCACACACTGAATTGGCCTTCACAAACATGATTCAGAAAAACAAATAATCTACAAGATTCACTCATGAGAAACTTCATCCTGAAGCTTCAAGGCGGGCACAATCTGATGGACAGTTATTCAAGCCTACCTGAGAAGCCAGCTAGACCATACATAATATGATTTGATCCAAAGTACCTTCGCACATGCACGATTCATTAGTCTCAACCAAGTGAATAACCCGTGGCCTCTCGAGATGATTGGGATCTTCGTGACTCTTGTAGTAGTCTATTGTTCAGACCTGGGGCGATGTGCACCTTCGCCATACAGATAGACATAAAGCAGGACCGAGCACAGTCCATTTGCGCATTATCTAATTTCATTCGCACTCTTTATTTCGGCCTGCTATACTTCAAAACTTCATGTTGATCCAAAACCCCAGGTGTCGAGATGTCTTTACCACTAGGTCGAGCATAGAACACCACATTCAGAACTCCAGCTCGCATGACTAAATCGAACTGATTCTTCTTGCACTTCATACAAGACAGCATGAGCACTGTAACAGTGGTACAGAAACCATCACAGCGAGAAACCGTAAGAGTAATCAAGAGATCTTCACTTGACATGCCCCCATATCCTATTTCCGCAGATCGATTGTGACACATGCACTGTTATCCCTACTAGTGAGGAACACGGACCGCTGCTGCTGCTTCCTTCCCCGGATCCGATGCTATGGAGCATGTTCGTGTCCTGGTGGTATAAGATGATACCTGGGGGACAGTCAGTTTTACTCATGGCCGTTCAGGAGAATGGCCGGCATCACTACGAATGATTCTTCCCATTCCCAATTCCATCTCGGTACAGTAGATGACATGAATCGCCTTGATGTTCACAAACTACCTCCACCTAATTTGTGGATTTAATTATCTTTAGCAAGGGAGCCAGGCAATCAAGCATCCAGAAACAGATTTGCTATGTGTGTCTGGGGATGGAAAGTTCCAGAAAGCTTTTGATCTACGACGATAATAGATTGTGACCCAAACACGAGCAAGAGATTCTTTCCTCCACATTTGGTGGGTGGACAACCATTATAGTAAGATGCCCCAAAAGGGTTCTTTCCTGTAATCAGCTTATTTACTTGTAAAGATGCGACTCCTTTTTAACGGCCCGTGGGTGCAGCCTGTTTCTGCTGAGAGATAGCTCACCAGACAGACACCTTAAGTCAACATAATTATTCTGTTATGTGGACTGTAGGTGTTGAACAGTATGGTGATATCAAGCTAAATCTGGCGTAAGCAACAACCACAACTGAAGATCCGTACCAAGCCCGGTGCAGTTGCGACTCTCTCGGCCATTCTCTTACGCGTCTGTTGCTTCAAGGTCGGGCCAACTCTATGGGCCTGTTATAACGATGGTTAGACCGAACGTGATTCAGATTTCCATCCACTCATTTTAAACTAAGCTTCATTGCCGGGCTCAATAGCGTAGCCGAAGCTGATGCATTTCTAGTGCGACTGAGCTCACTGATAGTGATTCAATCATCCGCATATTGACAGGGAACGACGTCTTGGTGCTGAGACATTCCTTGTTAGCTTGTGCAGTTTGCAATTGTATAATCCGGGTATGTGTATCCGGAGGATGTCCTCGATCGACACGGATCATATTGCCTCTAAATCAACGGCTTGATGAGATTTGCACCCAGTGTGAATAAGGTACAGAATCTTGCCTAATCAGATACTACAGCTGCAGCAGCTCCTTGCCTAATTATGTAAGTTGCACTGCTTGCATTTTGAGCCTTGAGACAGTAGCCTCGTGCTATAAATCTGCTCTGAAATCCACATCTGACTGTGAATCCACAGACTGTAGATGATCGTCATCCTGGAGTTTTGCCAGAACAAAAACCAACTGAGCCGTGAATCAGTGCATGGGCATGCGATTCAACTGATGATATCTAATTCTTATTATACTCGCAGAAAGGTAACAGTCAGCTCATATGCTCCTCTGTGCTGGGAATCCTCCAAGCCGGGGGACCGGTGGACGCCGACCCGTGCCTCGATAGAAGACGCACACCCGGGCCAGCCTGACACTCAGATGACATGCATATGCGTTCACCTTGTCTGATACGGCTGGAGCACATTACATTTCCCTGGGCGGCATGCCATCGAGTCATCGAGTACGAAAAGAAGGAACGGTGTGGCAAGTTGCAGTGCCATCCTGACCGTGATCAGTAGTAGACACATCCTGCTGCTTATTGAACTGTCACGACAACATGTAAAAGAGAGATCTCCACAACCATCATGTCCATGGTAACCCAAAGTCAAGGACCAACTGTTTTCCGCTGTGGATGGAGGGGCGGGATTATTGCGCCTTTCCTCCGCTGCCTCTGTCTGAACTCTTCGGTCTGATGCTTGGGTCCAGTATCGTGTGTTGGGTACATGAATCAGATGAGCGCTCTTCCTTCTCCGTACCAACCACAGGTACATGTACAGCGCAGTTTGTTGCGTAGGCCTTGAAGTTCGCACTACTCCATTCTGATCGTTTAGCCAATAGGCCGTACATGGGTCAAGCCTCGCATTGCCAGATCAAGTCTACATGAACTAAAAGTCTGCCTTCTGCCGTATGAACGAGTCAACCTTCTTCTATAGAAAGGCGTTGTTACCTTCTCTGGGTGCAGTGCAAAGAGATGGTAGGACGGGAAACAGAATCCAGAGAACACTTTCAATGTACTCGTTGTCTCCACGATGGCCAGCATCCTCGGGGATTTATTTTACAACTGCTGCCATACGCAGACGCCGTTCATAGACTGCAGCCCAGCAGAAGAGGCCATGCGTGATTCCATGTACTTTGCTCCGAATCTCTACACGTTGCCCCCTGCTGGAATTATACCAAGAGGCAGCTTTTCAAGTATAACCCCACCATCCATCCTCTAAGAAGGAACTGTTTGCCCGACTTTCCGCGTACACGAAGAATAAGCTCACAGTAGACCTGAGAATTGCAAGCTACCTCGCGCTGGAACAAATTCTCGTCTTTCCTCCCTTCAGCCCCGGGTTGTCACATATCTGATAGGAAAAATGTCTTTCAACCCTTCCGTTCCTCCTGTTGATGTGCTGATGATGTCGGAACAAATTTGGAGCATTCCGAATGTCAGTTGATATATGATTATTCTATTTGTAACTCCTAACTCGATTGTCGGCCTGACAATTTATCTCCTCCTCTTTTCGGATTCTTAATGGAGGCAAGGTTAAGTGCATGGCTATTCGACGTAATTCAATCATTGTAGGCTTGAGAACATCTCAATGATGAAGAGAAAGGTGGAGTTGCACAGTAGATGATCTACTGACCAGCAATATGAAGCAACGAGAAAAAGTTTTAATACTTCTTAGTAAATCTTCTGATCTACTGCTGGGAGTCATGCTGCAAGTTGTGCGTCGTCATCACCTTTCGAAAACACATCAATCCAGCTGCAATAGGTTTCATTTGGGATCTTGTATATTTATAACTGTTTCATGACGACGAGGAAGTTAGTACGTCTTATGGAACAAGGAATGGACGATGATGATTGACAACGAAACAGCTACAGCTAAAACTCCTGCGTCCAGAAACGAAAAATCTGGAATCCCTTTTATGGAGGACTTCTTCAATCAGAAGCACCGTGCGAGAAGAAAGGCAAAGTCTGCGTTGAGAATTTTATACGCAAACGATGGCAGGTTGTGAGCTACATTTCAGGCTCTGCTCACGTGCCTCGCTGCTTTATAAGCAGAGATTGCTCACTTTCATCGCCGGGGCACGATAGCAAGAGAGATTTTGTGAGCGCGCTGCACCTCTCACAAACTATTCGAACATTGTGTTCACGCCAGGTTGAGAATCGCTTTATCATTCTGATCTTCAATCTGGTATCAGAAAATCCCGAAAATCTCACTCAGCAGCAACTCAAAAGATTTGAAACCTTCAAAAATTCATTCGAGGATCGTGATCCTTTTTTCTTTCCTGACGACACGGTCCGAATCAAGCTGTAGTGCCTGCGATTCTCAATTTCACCTCCTTCTTGAAGATTTTTGACATCGATCGAAGCCCTGTCAACTCCCCCTATCGAAGATCAGTACGCAGTCTCCATCTTCATGTCTTTGGATTGCTCATCTCGCCCTTGATTCAAGCTTCCGCTGTCAATTTTCTGCGGCTGTGGCAGCGCGAAGAACTGCAAGCGAGAGACGCAGTGCAGGATTCATCAAATTCTTCCCAAGTTCAGCGTAGCTAACAAAGATGGCGTCGCACTCTCAGTACTATTTTTGCTGGAACTGCGAAGAGTTGGACTCTGCGGAGAACAAGTGTAGCTCGTACTTGTCCTCCTCTTCGTCGGGGTCGGAGGACGAGCAGGCGGAAGACGATGGGCAAGATGAAGTGGAGGAAGATTCGGTCGCCGACGAGCAGCAGCAGCATGGCGATGTCGACGACGACTACGATGAAGAGGACGAAGAGGATGAAAACGACGACGACGGCGACGAGGAGGATGAAGACGAAGACGATGAAAACGACGGCGACGAGGAGGATGAAGACGAAGACGATGAAAACGACGGCGACGGCGATGAGGAGGACGATGAAGACGACGAATATGATGGTGACGGGAGCGACGGTGACGGGGCCAGCGACGGGTCTGACGGGGACGACGACGGTGACGACGAGGATGAAGATGGAGAAGAAGACGACGGTGGTAAGGGTAAGGATGAAGAGGACGAGGGAGTTGACGGTGAGGAGGAAAAAGAAGAGGGCGATGCCGAGAACGAGGACGGCGACGGTGACGGCAACGATGGCGATGGGGATGGCGAGCAGAACGAGCAGAGTGAAGATCCAGAGAGTGCAGATGAAAATCCAGATCCGGAAGAGCGACAGTTTCACTTTTGGGCTCCGATGTGTTGTACCCGGTGCGAGGATGAGGTCAAGGGACACCTCGAGGGATTAGAGGGCGTGAAGTCTGTGACGTGCGACTACTGGCAAAAGAAGGTGACCGTGAGCGTGACCGCGACAGCAGATCGGTGTAAGATTTTGTTCGCGTGCCACAGAGTGAAAATCAGCGGCATGCGAAAGTCCACCTATTGGGATGACCGTGAGTGAGCCCGTTTGAGCTGATCGTATTGTCGTACACAAGCTCAACCGATTCTGCCATTTTTTCAATGTACCGATATTCAGCAGCTATTTCCAGGGGCTGCGTCGATCTGGACTCACCAGCTTTTCCTACTGCAGCAGTCGTCGATATGCTGTAGTCGTCGAACGATGAGTTTGGGATTGGACATCACGAAGAACCAAATCCGCTGAATGCGTCTGACATTATCAGTTCAATCGCGATTCAAGCTCGAGACCGTTGTAGCTGAAACTGGTGCAATCTCTTCTGCATCCTGAATTTTGCGAACACAATTTTGTCCTACGTGCTTTGAAACCCGTTTCACACTAAAGGATTCCAGCATCGCGAAATTTTGCTCTTGATCACATCAGTGCCAAAGGCGGAGACAATCAGCGGATGGAGTTTAACCATCCACGACTAGGGACAGTCAAACTGCGTGGAGTTTCGGGATTCCACGACAGCAATTGTTGCTGAATCCTTCGATAGCTCGCAAGAATTCCTCAGTGTCACAGATTGATAGCATACCGGATGTTGCCTTGAGGACGAGTCGGTATGCACAAGCGTGTGAGGGGGTATCGGCAAGACTCGACTTGCACGCGGGAATGGAAATAGCTACGGTGCAAGTTTACCACGTGTACAATTATTTTGAATCTCAGGAAGCAACATGTGGATGGATGTCGTCCGAGTTTTGACTTCCAGCTGTTTCAACGAGGCGTCACCTTCAGATCATGGCTGGAGCAGCTGGCGTTCGACCAGATCTGCCATCGTTCATACGCGTGCAATCCGATGCAGATGAAAAGCCACATCAGCCGGCACTATAATTCTCTCTTCAGATGTGCCTCGTAATTTCATTGTAGCTAGGACGGAGATAAATCACGATCGAAGTTCTCCTTGTCTACTCTTCTTTTCTAGGCCATTGGTGGTTCAAAAGCTTTCGAGTCATCAAAGCTCCGCATGCAGTCTTTTCTGAAGAATTAAGGTCGACAAGAGTCGGAAAGGCGACGCAGTTGCTGGAATTCATCTCCGATTGTCGGCTTCGGCTTTGAGATTTGGAACTTTTGGACGTGCACACCTACCTGGTGATCGCTTTTCGACGGAAAGGAGATGTTCAAAATCGATGCCATTTTGGCGAAAGCGGAGGTGGCCTTCTAATTGAATCCTAAGCCAACACCTAGCAAGCAGCTCTTGCAAATCCCGCCAGGTTGCCTCTCAGGAAAAGTGGCACCTGATACATGGAGCGGGAGGCGGAGGCGCAAGCGCTCTTCCCAGCCCACAACTTCACTTATGAACTGCATTGGTCATTAAAGTAAGTACGTGAATACTGACCCCGTGAAGAGGCGTGCCGTGGGTTGCTCTTAGTCGCTCGAAATGGTTTGCAGGGGCCAAAGGCTGGTCCTTTTCCGCCACTGCCACCGAGGTTTCGAAGCGAAACGCGGTAAAGATATTGCAGCACTTACAGTTTGGAAATCGTACCTTCGTATCCAACTGCACATGGTGAGGCTTCGTTAGAATCACGGGGAAGATGTATGAACCAACCCCAACAGCAGAAATGCAAGCAGTTTTTGAGAATCAGGCGGCGGCGCAAAAAGCCTGATCGCATCGTTATATCGCAGAGTATCTAGCCTAGCTCACTGGGTGCGAGTGGGTCGAAAGTAAAAAGACTTCAGGCCTTCCACAAGCATTTTCAATCTTGTATACGTACGTGTATATGCTGTATTATTACTATGAGGAGTATATTCCCAAGTTAGTTGAAAGTTAGAGATCTTCCTCTATAAGTGAAAAGGGGGACAGCGAATGGACAGTTAGGTACTGGTCGGAGGACAGAAGTGACGTATCGGGAAATCAAGTACTATGTCGATTCTCCAGATGAAGACATTGTGGATTTTCCCATGCCCGTGCAAAGGATTAGCGGATATTGTGAAAAAGGTTTGAGCCTCAACCTCAGTTGTTTTTATATTTCTTTTCCTTTTTCATTCTGTCACATGTCTTGGTCGAGGTTTGTCCACTGACGTCATTGAAAAGTGAAATGACTGGAGGCAAAGTACTTACTAATGTCGATACATTAGTAAGTACTTTGTTCAGCCCAAAATAAAGTCCGATGTTTCAAGAAACTTGTTGAAGTTGGTTCTTTAGCTATAGATGACCCGGAGCATTTTCTCCCTTGGATTACCCCTCTCACGAGGAGACCCAACTCGGTCTTTTGTTAAGTTACTTTTGAGTTGCATGTAGTGTTCACCCGGTATGTTTGTCTTCACGGTGTAACTAACCCCATGATTCATGATGTACCCGTTATGAAACCTTGGAAGATATCTGGCCCGGAACGTGTATTCCTGTTTAGATGCATGTTCATCCGGGTTCCGTCACGTCGATGAGGGCAGGGTAAGCCCACATGGCTGAGGCTGGCAACGGTTGGCTGCACATCCTAAGCAAGTTTCAATTAAACTTTCAAAGCTTCAGACAGAATCTGGCCAAGCCGCAACTCATCTACATTATAGACGAGGCCGGAGATCCAGTTCTGGCTTCATTGTCAAGAACATCGGATAACTCACGTACATCACAAGTATGACTGGAGTCTCTCTGAACGCGAGACATGTAGTGAGTCACAGCAGAGCAATACATACTCTTCAGTTAGATTCTTTTTCCTCTTTTTTCCCACAAGACGGTTTTCAAGCAAATGTTGCAAGGCCATGAGCTACACATGAAACACAGAGATTATCCCAGACCATTTTCGGTATATTTATCATCCATGGAAACGTCCAACGGACGCACCCAGCCCAAGCCGTAACAGAAACCGAGTAGATTCGCCAGATGCGTGGACTACATATGAAAAGTCTACTACTGCTGGGAGTAAGATAAAGTAGTATGATGCAGGCTTGGAGCTTGCTTGGTTTGATAATCATAGCAAGATATCAGAGCCAGTGGACAGACATCACGACTCTGTCAACGAGACGAAGATCGATTATGAAAATTCCTACTTTATGATCTACGTACTCGCTCAGAGCTGATTTAGAGGAGGTCGTTTTGACTTTCCTATGAACCAAAGCTCCTATCCCTTTGCTGCTTTCCATTTTGAGAACAGTGCACCTAATGTAAACCTGGATAGAAGAGGGACGTCACGAAAGGAAGTCTGTAGCACCAATGTCTGTCGTCTATGGGGCGAATGCAACATATGGTGAGAATGAGCACCGAATATATACCGTTGTCATCGCTAGGAAAATGTAAGCTACTGTGAGAGTAGATACAAGTATGTAAAGTTGGATGAATAATGTTGTCAAGGTGGATCACTAAATTGAGAGCCGCCACCGGCAAATTATGATCCTCCCTTAGAGAGAAAACGGTTTATTCTTAACAACTTCAATTCCAGGACTGAAAAAGTCTTGTTTAGTTTCTCTATCCTATAGAAAATAATACTTTTTTGTTTTCTACTGAAATTTTCGTACCTTTCACCGATTGATGTTCTTCGGCCACAAAAGATTAGAAAAAACATGCTCAGATTGCAGTGGAGTCACAAATCATGATTTCCTGAGGACATGGCAAGTGTGTCTAAGGTGATCAGATAAATCAAACTTATGTGGAATTTGAAGGCTCGAACGTCATGCAAATGGACACAGTTTGAACACATCTGCTGGTGTGCAACAGTTGCACGCCTGCCTCATGAGCAACAATTCAGCACAACGAACGAGTGTTTGCAGAAGATTGCGGCAAGCGGGGGAGATACTTAGAGTGGCACAAATTTCACATTGATTTGAAATATCGCACCCTTTGAGGAGATTCCAGCAACCGTGATGGATCGTGAGCTAGTTGCCTTGAGAATGAAATAAGTCCACTGAATGTCTGGAGGCAGCGACACGAGGTAGGGACCTTAAGGTTTCTTGCAGCTCTTGACACTCTACTGCACTCCAGGAGGACAAGGTTCGCACAACATATAGAGAAAAAGACAAAATATGCGTAAGGAATATTTGCATGAACATGAAGCCACTCGACTACCGATGCGCGGTTTTCTTCTCCTCTCGCCTCGCTGTGGGACCTGTGGCCCCTACACTATTATCTACTCGGTTAAAGAGAAGATCGTTTCCGCAATCCAAAACCGCAGATTCTAGAGATGGATCTGAGATCAGTGCGCACTGCGATCACAGGTAGGAGTGAATTAAATTCCGAAGTCATGTTATTTACATCTTCGAGGACTTGAAATGGTGACGGTTTCTCAAGTCATGTTATCTACATTTTCGAGGGCACGAAATGGTGACGGTGTGACACTATACATTTAATGATATTCTCTAACTACATTGATTTGGTGAAAGCAGCTCAGGAAGGCGTAGTCTGTGACATCCCATCTTTGGAATAGGTGGCAATTCGTGGCCATCATCTTCCACGTTCAGATCAGCGAACACCTGCAGATCTGTGCATAAAAAGATGTGCACTAGCGCCTAAGCACACGGCCAAAGTCCTCCGACACCTTTAAAAAGTAAAAGAGGAACTCCTGGCGTGTCATCATCTTCAAATCAGTGATGATTGTGGGCTTAACCCTTCGATTTCCATGCATTTTGGTACGACCTCGGTGGCAAGAGAGCCAACCCGTACTCTTTCATGATGACCAATAACCTGCAGGATCCGACCGTGGTGGTAATCCATACGCTGTTCAAAAAATATACGGTATACCTATGAAGCTCTGATGTCTAGATGTTGAAACAAATTATAAACCCCTCGTAAGAATACGTACTGTATACGGTTCTAGATAATAGTTAAACTCAGTTTCATCACTTCAAATATTATCCTGTAATCATAGGCTGGTTCGCAATCTACTGCCATACGCATGACTCATTTTGAAGCCAGTAAACATAAAGTGATTTGATTTGAGTAGAGAAGATTTTGTTTCCTGCAAAATGAATAATTTTTTATACTCCTTTGAAAAAAAAGTAAAAACATTTTATGCAGAAAGTTCGAAGAAATTCTAAAATATTGTAGGAGTTTTCGCACATATTTATATCACCAGTACACCGGCTGAAGTTCAATTCAATGCTGAACACGCGAGCAGTCTAACGTTTAGACTGCTCGCGTGTTCAAGGGACAAATCTTGTTTGAAATGATACGATAGAGTTCCACAGATAATTAAGAAGACTGAAGTTCAGAACACGTCTTATCATGATCAGCTTGCAAAAATAATCACGTACGCACATGAATGTACTAGCTACTCCGTACTTTCTGCAGTTAGAGTCCAAGCGATGTATATAGATTCTACAGTTCTGTAGCTAGATTATGTTCACACCAGCGCTTTCGTGTGCTTTTGGTCTCATCGAGTAACGTCAGATACACCACATCGTTCAGCTAAAAGACAAAAATCTGGATGCTTGATGACGAAGGCGAAAATATTCTGGAGACATGTTTCTCTCGGTATTTCACGTTGAAAACAATTTGCATGCAAGCCAGGGAGGTTCTTTCTAGTTGAGATGGTTTTGCGTGAAGTCGTCTCAGTCACTTTTGTCGTTGTAACACTGACAAACCATCTCGACTGACCAAAGCTCTAGGGCCAAATAAGACAATATTAAATTCTAAAAGATGCCGAGAATGTAGATAATCTGTAAGTACCTTTGCCTCAGATTGTATCTGAGTCATTGACTGACAACCCAAAGAATGGAAAACTCAATCCAAAACCCTTGGATCATATATAATCACTTTCGAACTTTTATTTCAGGACTATACTTACTAAATCTGTAGAAGGCTGTCTAACTACCAGCACATGCATGCAACGGTATTACCCCCAGTGACTTCAAATCGTGATTTACCGGATGATTCATCCGAAGGAGATGCTCATCGAATTGAATCTAGAAAGAATGGGGCATCACAGCCCTCACAACATAGAAGATAAGCAAGAGCGTGCTATGCAAATATCTACCAACGAACATCTGTAGGCCAAGAATTTTCTACCCTAAGCACTGTACCCAAAATAGACACAAACTCTGATTTGCATTTCCATGGCTTCTGATCTAGCGTAAGCACATCCTTCGCCTCTTCCTGCTCTTAGTATTACTGCTGCACGTCGTCAAATCACGAGCCGTCATGACGATTCGAGCGTCACAGTAGCCAATAATTGCAGGTGTGTCGAATTATAGCGCTAAAATTGTCGTTGTGCTCAAGCTGTCATCAGTCTGTACATCTGGTCCACCAAAATGCATCCTTCGATAGATCCCTCGAGCCAAAAACGAGACGCACTTCCACTTTCTGTAGTTGTAACTCAGACGCATTCTCATATGTTGTTTCTTCACCGTTCAAGAAAATCTCCGCGTTTCGTTGAAAGCAGTCGGCACCCTGACAAGATCGATCACAGTGCCGTAGAATTATGCATCTGGTAGGCGATTCACTGAACCCCTTCGTAAAATGGCTTCCTTCGAAGATGCAAGACTTGTAACGATAAATCTTGCCGAAAGGTGATGACAATCTGGAGAGGACCCCGTCATGGCGGATGATCAGCAAAGTGATACAGTGCCGATAGTCCAAGCAAGTAACTCGTCTGTTCCAGAGTCCCCGCAGCATTGTCAAGTGGATCACTCGAGGCAGGATGGGCAAATGGAAGCACGCCACACGCATTTGAGGCCCAAGGCCGACCTGTCCAAGGCCTAGTTATGAAAACACAAGTACTGCATCTGGCTCCATTCGCCAGATGCTAGCAGGTTGGATCGCTCACGCTTCCGATGTGCACTGTCCGTGAACTGGTGCTCAACTGCTTGTAGAGGCAAGTTAGTAGACATCCACTGCTTCAAGTTGTCTCGTTCCTTCCATTATGAACACAAACCTGATCGCAACATGAATCTAAACGGCCTCCAAGAAGGCATATACTTTGTACCCGAATGTCGAGAACTGGAGCCTGTGGATTGTTCTCAGGCAGTCTCCTCGCCCTGACATGCAAATCTGCAGACGAGTCTCGATGCACAGCACGCAACCTTCCACTCAGAGCGTTACAGAATGTGCAGCTGGCCTTGACTTGCTCCACGTGCCAGCTCTTTTAGTACATTTTGAAGCTAGCAAGGAGAGTGTAATCCTCAGGAGGACCTGCTGCTTGCTGCTTGTACCGAACATACTATCACTCGGAGTGGGTGAGTGGAAGTTGAAATTAGTTATGTTAGACGAAAGTGATTCTCGCTGCATGCCCTCTCTCCTCCCATAAAAGGAGATAGATCTGCATGTAGAACCCATCAGCATGATCCTCAATTTACAGTGCGGTGGAGAGCATCGTAAGTATAACAGCTGATTATACTAGTTCTTACCGCAACCTCGATCACCTCGCACGTTGCGCGGATTCCTGCTGAGAGGAATCCATTAGGATACATGGACTCTCGGGCACTCGAACCCAGGGAGCCTCTGAAATCATTCGGGAAATTCTCTCGGCTCCAACCTTGCCATCAGTCAGTCGTCTTTCCAGAAAGCAGCCTTGCAGAACTTGCTCTGGCACTTGAGCAGGATCTCAATAGCGTTCAAATCCTTTCCGGAGACGACCACCTTCTTCTTGTAAATATCGCAGACTATCGACTTGACCCCCTTCATTTGGCTGATAGGGACAGTAATCCTTTCCTCGCATGGCTGACAGCAGATGGGAACCCACAAAACTACATCTGGATCCTTCGGCTTTTCTTCCTTCTTCTTTTCCTCCTTGCCAGAACTTTCGACGTAGTCCGGATAAAAAGGCATACTGGCCATCACGAGCTCTGGCCGAGGATTGAAACCGATTATTTTCGCCTTCTTGATAACATGCGTTTCTTCGTTTTCTCCATAAAATACCCCTTGAATCGGCATCGGCTCGAAAAAGCGGGCAATCGAGCTGAGTTCCAATGCTCGCTGTCGCTGACGTTCATTTCGCTCATATGTTGTCCACATGGTGTTCCGACTCGATCCCAAGGTTCAATCAAATGCCGTGGATGGATGTATACGTTGGTTGCAATCACTGCAGCAGGCAGGGCCTGGAATCAACTTCGAAGAACTCCCTTCGTCTTCAAGGTGCTGCTAATATTATGAACGACTGCAAAATCTGGATAGCTCCTGCTGACAGAAGCTGTGATCTTCCTCTCTGTTGCTACCGCAGCTATGATCTGTCTTCCTTGTTGCGATCTCAATACAAGAAGCTCAGCGGGATCAGTAAGTATATCGAAGCGGTGCATGACAATTCGAGATTTATGTTGGCGAGTCCGGCCAGCAGAGCGGTGTATAAGAATGTTCGAATAATTCGTGCATTACCTGCAACTGAGGGGAGGATGTTCAGGCATTTGAATATTGTATTCCACCGCGTGGATACTGGACCGGATACGAATGGAAATTTTTCCAAAGGTTGAAAGAAAGCGACAGAAGACTTTTATTTTATTATGAGCCAGACGACTGGGATGACGTCTGGACGAGGAAAAAGAAGCCTGCAGCTGATGCAGATCGCCACGATGTACGTTTCCAACATGTCCACGCCAGATCCGCAAGTTTCTCGAGGGAGCCCTGTGGCTGCCATGGCCACATTGCGATGGCTTCATGGCAGGACTCGGATGTGGTGAAGAATCTGTGACATGATGTTTTCATCTCAGAGCGCCCTTCCATGGTGACGAGATCTTTAGCACAGACTATGGGAACAAATTGTAGAGTATATTCTAGACCTTGATCTCTCGAACGCAAGGCACAGCACAGTGCTCACTTCTCTCAAGAGCATTGTACGCGAGACTCGGTCCACAGTAAATTACACGCAAAATTTTGACTGCGTGCTCGTGCCCGCTGTCATTTTTTTTTTGGGCTGTTTCTTCATCCGTGCTTTGCATTATCATTTTCTAGATCCGTCGAAGCTTATACTACACGAATGGTTCAGGGAACGAACCAATCATGCGTTTGTCTCCTTTCCGAATACAGATCTTGCAAATTACTGTTTCTGTAGCAGTGAACTGGTATTCTGGTCTATTTGGAAATAGAAATCAATAAAGAGGCATGAACTGCAGATTAAACAGGCCGAATGTCTTGTGGGTTTCTATCTCACTGTCGTCTAATCAAGTGCCAAGTGATTTTCGTGGCAAAGGTGGTGTAAGGTCCAAAGGCTTGTCCTCGAACATACAGGCACCCCATCTAGCACTCGATGCAGGAGCGAGGAGAGGGACGAGGGAGAAGGATGGGGGTGGTGGCGCACGTTACGAACAGAACTAATTCGCAGAAGTCACTTTCGGTTGCGTGCTCGGCTTGAGGCCGCCACTCAGACTCTGAACCAGGTTATGGTGTACAGCAGCGTGGAGCTTATCACGCTGTAGAAAAAATCCGTGACGGGGTAGATTGAATATCAGCATATGCTCGAAAGAGGATATATCGTGAACTTATTTATACCTTTTTGGTAGATCACGTTTCACTCCTCCTCTCTCGTCACACAAAGGACACACTCCCTCACTGTCCCAGCACTGTCGTTACCATCGTTCTCTAGCCCTGCACCAGTGGCATTACAGTTGGCCTCGGTAGTGACTACGGTCGGCTCTAGAGTTGAAAAGACCGAAGTTCAGGTGACTCCGGACGCAGGTCCAAAAACATGGATCGTCTTTTAGTCGTGACTCGGGTGTGAGAGTTCACTTTGTATCTACGACGTATTCTCAGAGAGAGTGAGAATCACTCCCGCCTCCCGCGCAAGTCACCGTGTATCGGTCCAGCTACTCTCGATCTCGTGGGCTAACTTCGCCTTCATGGCAATGAAGATTTCCAAGTGGACAATTCGATTTCAACATCAATCATGGTTGGCCACCATCTTCCCTCTGCCGTTTCGTGTCGTGGTTGCTCGGACAAAAGTCATGGACGAACAGAGAGAAGAAGATTCCTTTCTCCGGTCATATATTCGAATCACGTAGAATCCACCACTCGACTGTGGCGCAGAAAAGAGACACGCCGAGGCCGAGCGATGAACAATCCGAGAGCAACACCGGCAGCGAATATTATTGGACGAGCTGTGAACTCGCGTTGTGAGTGACTGCCCCACTGGCCTTGTCTCCTCTCCGACTCCCGCCTGGCCACAGTGCTCGGGCGATCGACCGGACGTGACCCACCACTTCCGTGGTAAACGCAAGGACAGATCGGCCGGCGCACGCCCGGATCCAGGTGGAAACGGAACCGACGCCCTTGTCTCGAAAGTGACATAGTAGGACGGAATGCGGATTCGGACATATCCAGGGCCTCGAGACATACGTTACATCATCGATAAAACACACCGCTCGTTGTTGACCGAATTTTCACCAGGTCCTTCTCTAGGAAGGTAGGAATCGATTTGTCAATACCGCAGGGAGAAGATACCTTGCGCCATACGCAGTCTCGCTCGACGACTTTCGTCCTCCTCTCCGACGCTTTCATATCCTCTGCCCTTTCGTCACCTGCCGAGCCTTAATGAGGATTCTTTCCCTCTCCGCCTCACTCTGACAAAAGGCATTTGGCTCATGTGACCAAGCCTCGACTGCATGGTTGAAGCCCCGATGGTTCATTGAGCGCAGAGGAAGACGAGGACGAGGCAGCGGATGACGTCCGTTTACGAAGAGACCTTTCTACTTCGGTCAACCAGTCATTATCACCCTCCGGAAACTCGCAGATTCGCTACGGGCTCATGAATCTGGAACGTCGGATCTCGTCTCAGACCCCGTCGTACAATGATGGCTCGACTGGAAGTGAAGGAATGTCACACTCGATCCCTCCAGCTAGCTGCGGACCGGGCCCCCATGGATCCGCAACTGAAGGAAGCCTGTGACGGGATAGAAAGCGCTGCAGATCCGCGTGCGAGAAAACCGCAACTGCAATGAGCACACAGCGACAGTAGCGACCTCCTTACACAGATACGACGTCTCCGAGCGTACATAGAAGGCAATCACGGAGTGCTCACCATCGCTGGAGCCTGGAGCGATAATGCCTGGTGCCAAGGGTCCGGGACACGATGTCCGGGACACATGAGAAGCGGACAAAACTCGCGACGTCAGGCTTACTGGCTTCTGATCGAAGCTGCTGGCCGAGAAGGCGACCGTGTTGCGGATGAGTCGCGCCCAATGCCAGAGCTGGGAAGTACCCTCCACAGCGGCGAACGAAATCGCGGCACCGGAGGACTCCATTGCCGACGTGCCTCTGGCCGAGGGAGTAGTGGGCACCGGTTCCCATTGAAGAACGTGCCCAGCTCGCCGTGACCATGACGACCGTGCGAGGCATCTCAGGCCGGCCGACTTGATCCCGGCCTACCTAATGTAGACCCCAAGACATCTCCGCCCTTGCACTGCAGGTGACGGACGACTTGTCAATGCGGCTGTGGATATACAACATGACAAGTGGTGATTACGAATCTTCCGCTGACCTCAAATTAGCTGACTGTGTGTGTATATATGTATATATCACTGTATATACATTAAATTAAAAAAAATGATATACTCGATAAAGTACTGAATTAAAAAAATATGAAAGAATTCTTACTATATGTCACATGTTTTACTTAAATAATATTATCACACATAATTTGTGTTCTTCATCACCATATCTTTTTTCACGGCTTGATAAACAAACTGCTAGAATAATACAGATGTGACGAATTATCAGTTATGAGTCATTTGGATATGTTTGGTATGTAAGAAATATATAACTCTATACAATTATTTAAAATTTATTGGAAATATTGACTCATCAACGTGTACTTATTTTATATATTCAATATTATTTGTAATTATTTTTTGAAATTTTATCACAAATACAAATAAGAAATTTTTTTCTTAGAAACACACCTAAATTCTAAAATAAAGCACAATGCATTTCTAAGAAATTACATATTAACTAATTTCTTATACTCTAACAAATACAATATTTGTCTATGAAATCATCAAATACCTTCAGATATAATTATATTTTTATTTTATAAATATATATTTTATATAAAAATATAATGAGACATTGATTCAAATTATAAGCATTAGATTTATTCAGCTAATTGACTTGATGTTCACATTTGCCATCTTTTTGCATAAATTTTTGTTTAAAAAAAAATTTACAAATTTCAATAGACTCAATAGATTTAAATGTATATAATGTAGGTTAAATTATTTTCCTAGTTAAAAAAATCATAACAATGACATCATTCAATACATGTGAAAAAAACTGTTGATGATGTTGAAAAACATACTATCATGAAATTTTGTACATATCTTGAATCTCAAGATGCAAAATTGAACTAGATATAAATCTAAAAATTTCGTCTAGCAATACTATCATATCTTCTCTGTATATTGAAATTATATTGTATCTCATTATGACATTTGATTTAAAATCTAAATATTATATTAAAATCTAATGTCACAATATGTTCTTGTCAATATAATCATACTCTACTAAAAAACTGAAATAAATCTTAATATATAACAACATTTTTATAAAAATCTTCTCAATTTATTATCATATCTTCATAAACGATCAAAATCTCATCAAGTAAATTTTTTCAATTCAATTTGAAAATCAACACATTCGTTAAGATATATCTTAAGTATCCATCTACATCAAATATGCACTTGAAATATTTAATATTTCTAAAATAAATATCATCATGTAGTTATTTTTTGTAGAAATTTTTTTTTTAAAGATAGATTTATCCGTTGATGATCAATCTTAAAACTATTAAAATTATTTAGCATCATGTAAAATTCAATATCAATTTCATTGATCAAATCAATTTTTTAAAAAAGATTGTAAATTAATTTTTAGCTTCATTACATTGTTATAAATACTTCCATAAGCTATTTCATATCATTTTTTTAAAAAGAAGCTCATCACACATGTTATAAATTATGAATGATTGAATGTAAATATGTTTGAATATGATTATTACACTAATCATGACTATGGTTAAAAGACTTTGACCAAGAAAAAAATACTGACTAATTTTTGTGCATTTAATAGATTTCACGGTTATGATTTCTTGATATTTTTCTAACTTAGACTAGTTTTCATTGGTTAAGTTACATGAAGTTTTGTATCCAAGTCTTAGAATTGACTTTGATAGAATAAAATTAACTAAAGAATCAAAAACTCCAAAAGAAATAAATTGAATATTTCTATGATTTTTTCCTAATAAGGATTATTACTTTTATCTCACTTTGATTTAGCAAATTGAGAAATTTTACTGTTGATTACTTTTAGGTTTAAGCTAAAATGGATTTAGGGTTTATACTTCAATGTTAAGATTTTAGAGATTTAGAAACGAATCTCAAGTCACTTTTGAAAAATGCTTATTTATATCAAATCATGATCTCCATTCCTTTATATCATAAGTTGCTTCCTTATGAGAGTTATCATAATGTGGAATCTCGAATTTGAAATCTTGTGTAAAAAGCTGCGGTGAAGTCATGACCACCTATTAAACTTTTACTTTGATTTATAATTTCTTGTTGAATATCAACACAAAGGTAATTTTTTAGTTTCATTGCCAGAGGAGCGAACTAAAGTGTAATTGGCTCAAGTTGGAAGATCACGCTTTTTATTTCATATCCAGAACCTTACTGTTGAAATATCAAATCTATTTCTAATATTTATTCATTGTCCAAAAGAAATCAAAATAGAAAACTCATTTTCAGATCATTTTACAAAATATTGTACCGTTGGTGTGTATGGTAGTTTGTATAATAATTTGGAAAAATAAGATACAATTTGATTGATTTCGGTGTTGGTTGGGTTGAGAACCACCTACAACAAATCGATGTAATAAGAAAAAAAGCTACATACACTAATAGTTATGAATTAAACCTTGATTGTCTTCTTTATTACAATAGGTGGGCAAATACAAAAACCAGAAGTACTTACTACATACATTCAAAATAAATATAGAACATACTGAATCCGGATTACAAAGTACTTTCAATATGTATTTATATCACAATGGGTGAGCAAAGAAGAGAGCTGACGACCTCACGTCACAACTTTGGGGCTGAAACACGTCTCATGGACAAGAGGTGTCGTTCATAGAGATAAAGAAAAAGGCCCCTGATCAGTTGTACGTATAACAGGGCGTTTCCAGGTCCAGTTCTACGGTGGGATACGAGACTTATCATGGAGACTAACTAATTTATACTGTAATTAGCGACACCTCCTACTGGTTGAAACGTATCTCCTTTGCACCATAATAGTAACTGCAATTTAAAGGGTATCGCAATACTTTTCTTCTAACTGTCTTGCACCTCATGTTTCTGCGTTTTAGCTTGGCCTTGTGAGAACAACAACTTTCATGGCCGTAAGGTTGTGGCGAATGCACACATCTCTCACTTGCTGGTCGGTTCAGTTGAAGAGAACATGCACTGGCGGCTACTTTTATGAAACATATGCTTTAAACTCTTTCCAAACAGAACATTGACACTTCATGGTCATAAGTCATAGATATGCTGCGTGTCACTGCAGCACGAGAGATCCTTCTGAGATTAAGTGGGGAATCTGGTACTAATGACAACCAAACCCTCATACTGTACTGTCACAGAATGTATTTTCACAAGTCTCTGGACCACCGCAGATCAAATATATCTTATTAGCGAAAGGATCTATCACCTCCGCGATGCAAGTGCTACAAATTTGTAGATTTCTGGCCCACACACAGTAGAGACCGAGGCGAATCAATAATGTTTCGGGCGACTGTGGCTACCCTGTTGTCGGCCGCTTTCAAGCAATGTTCGAGTTGACAATATCCTAACGCTTGAGGGCACCAGCAGCAGCAGAGCAGTCAAGACCGAACTTTCCGAGAACATTCCGACTCTTCGCAGGAAAATCTCCTACCATGGAAGCTTCTGCGTCAACTACTAATTTCACAGATGCAAATTTCTCAATTTCTACATACAAGTCGTATCTAGGTTTGAATTCTGTACTAGAAGCTCTGTTTTCAATCCTCCATGTCATTTCTGTATCCCCTGGTCTCCGATGTATTTACAAATTAGGCTCTCCGCAGATATACGTATTGCAAATGTCATATTTGAAGGGGTTGTACACATATGAATTTCACCTCTGAGCACTCCAAAGAGGAACCTGCTCTCTCTACGACCTCTCAAGAATAACTGTCTGTCAAGTTTTAAGGGATTGCCTACTTGATTAAAATCGTCGACATGCACAACACTCCTGGTGTTGGAAAAAGCACTTCAGTGAAACCTTCTTTAATAAGATCAAATCAGATTTACACGCATGCAGAGTAGGCACTCCTCGACAACTTGATATCCTATATTCCAAACCAGCCTTAGCCACTTAAGATCCATCCATCAAACATTTACCAAAGATCCTGGGATATTTTCTCCGAAAGTTTTAACCTGCCAATAACTTCAGGTGACTCGTTTTCAACTCTATTTACAAAATAGAGATAAGGCTTTGGCAACATAACTTGTAGCATTCAGGCGGTCATCGTCTCATCATAGAGAACATATTAGAGCCTTGTCGAACTAGGACATCAACTTCATCCAGACCAGATTCTGACGAACAGATCTACAAATCTTCAGTATGTTTTTCCTCTGATTGAAGCAACTGACTCAGAAGTCCTGCAGAGACCTGGCATCAACCAACACAGATACAAGTGATAAGCTTTTCATGCGTAGCACCTATGATTCTTTTACAAGGTGTAAGTTCTAGAGTAAGGGACTGACTAAGTTAGAGGGCGCCGAAGCCTCTGTCACGTCATGATGTTTCTGATCGTGACAGAAACAAAATTTTCACGCAATGCTTTGGGTAGCTGACAGAAATAATAATAACCCTATTAGTCACTACATTCAATGATTCGATGAGTCGCTCCCACCTGTCAATCATCAGCACGTAAGGTAAACACCCTAAGCAAACCATGACATGCAGAATGGAAGACATCTCGCACTTCGGGACCTAATCAAGCGATCCAAGCAGATGTACAATGGTATAGAGGAAGTTTCACTTCCTGCTGACTAACCTTACTCCCGCGATCGACGGTGATGCCAGCTGGGTAACCTCAACTTCATCCTGGCAGAGCTGATGTTAAAGAATTGTCAGTCACGACATTCCGTGACGATCGATGTATGTGGACCTCACTGTGGTCATGCCTTCGGTGAAGTAAGCCACAGATGCTGTGTGTCCAAGAACAATGTAGAAATTAGCGAAGGAAGCCCTCATGTAGAACTCGAATCCTTGGAATCGACGGAGGCACCTCCTGCTTCGATCACAGTAGCCACCATCCGCTTGCTAGGTTTGATGCCGGCATCTACTATCTCCTTCAAAAGAATTTTTGCTTCCTGCACCTGTCCTACCTTCACGAAAACTTCTACCATCAACTCGGCTAACTCGTAATCTGGTTGCACTCCGGTCTCCCGCATAACCACGTATACGTCTCTAGCGCTGTCGAACTGTCCGTAAACAGCGTACGACTTTATCAGGGATAGAAAAGTATCCTTCTTGAGCTTTAATCCAGCGGCCTGCATTTCTCGTACAATCCTCTCAGAAGCTAAGTGCATGCCGGCCTTGGCGTACATGTGGATCATGGTATTGCAAATGTTGCGGTTTGGCTGGCATTCATTACGCTTCATGAGCTCGTAAATACGAGTCGCGTTTGTAAGGTTTTTCGTCCGCTTGTAAATCTGAATCATTATCTCATAAAATATAACTTTCTTAGTGATTCCCTTCTGCATCATCTGATCGAAAATCCTCTCGCACTCAACATGATGACCAACTTTGGTGTAAATCTTCATCATCATTTCATAAGTTTGTGGATCGATAGGATACTTGTAACGCTGCATTTCCTTGAACCCTCTAATAGCATCCTCCCATCGCTCCATCCGCCTGAAGCCGTCAATCAGCTTCGTGTAGCAAGAAGCATCAACTGGAAGCCCAGCAACCCTCATCATCTTCTTCACAGACAGAGCTTGTTGTAAGAGTCCAGCTTGGGTATACAAGTGTAGCATAGTCCAAAACACAACCTTGTCTGGATATTGGCCCGCTTCCTTTTGGTACTCATGGAACGTAGAAGCAGCTTCATCCATCATCCCAGCTTTACCATAGGCATTAATAAGACTGTTGTACGCAATGGCGTCAGGAGTAATACCAGCTTTTTGCATTTCTTTGAACGCTTCCGCAGCTTCTGCGGCCTTTCCTAGCTTTCCGTAAGTATCTAACAAGATACTGCAAGTTACCAGATCAGGGCTCAAGCCATAGTTTCCCATCTGCAAAAAGTAGTTATGAGCTAGCTCTGCATCTCCTTTTCTCTGGCATGCAAGGAGGAGATGACCAAATGTGTGAATATCCGGCTGAATACCTCTCTCATTCATCTCCTCAAACGTAGCAAAGGCCTTATCCGGCAACCGAGCCAAAGCATAAGCATGTATCATAGTGTTGTAGGTCATCGCATCTGGCCAGCATCCTCGTTCTTTCATTTTCTGGAACCACCATTCACAAATTGTGATCCTACTTTTAGAACTTGCCTGATTGATGATTCGGCAATAAGTACCACTATCCAGAGTGAAGCCGGCATCAAAGAGATCCTGGGTGACGTGAACCAACTTTTCGAATTTGCCCGTCTCAAGAAGAAATCGAACGACAGCCAACAAGAATGGTAAGTCGGCAGTGTATGTGCCCTGCTGCTTCACCCAATTGTAGAAGCTGAAACAGAGCCTTTTGTCGTTGAGCAGTTTCATTACGGTTGTCGCATCCTTGGCTGAGATCTTCCCGCTGAATGGCCTCAGCTTTGCATACAGATCATCTGTCTTCTCGATACTGTTGAGTGTTGACAACAGATCATTCAGAGTGAGAGCCTCACCTCCTTGCAGCTGAACATCTGAAGCGTCTGAAGCATCCTCAGTCTCCTGTAACTCACTGGAAATAAAATCTTCAAAGGGGATAACCTCATCAGCATGAGCACTTCTTGTGGTACTGAGAGTATCGTTGTCATCAAGTGTTTCTTGCTCCTGCTCACTGCGCCAAAGATCCAACAGCTCGTTGGTACTGTCCTGCACATGAGACGCGAGCCAGGAAATTCAGAGCGAGAGAATAATGCATATGATTCTTCACCTTACCAGCTTCAAATCACATGAGATGAATACGAGAGGTTAGTTTGGATGCGAGTATTCTTTGTTAAATACTCGCATCCAAACTCACTCTCTCGTTTTCTCTATTCGTACTCAATTCTATTTTGTGGGAAAAACTCCAAATATGCTTGTGCTTTTCACCAGTTGAGGATGAGGTAAACATCATTTGCTTCATACATTATTATATGCTGAACTGGAGTTTTCACTGTTTCCTTCAACAACTCCTGACACGCCCGTCTTATTCTCCTCGAGTAACTTCTGTCCTGAAATCTGTGAAATGCACCTCCTATGCAACTTTGAAAATCCCGTCTGGTAGAAACTTGCGGCTGCGAGGCGACCATATGTTACAGGAGTTGAATGCGCCAACAACCGTTTGGAAAATTCCAGCATTCTTTCATGGAACCTGCGAAGTTGAAGACTGAGAATATAAGTGGGCAATTCGAGCTTAGAACTAGCACTTTTCTCGGGGTTAAAGGAGAACACGATTACTTCAACTCCTGATTAGAATTAATAATTACGTTTACCTAACGGCACACTGAAAGTCCTTGGTATAGATAAGACAGTGTAGCGAAACGATCTAGTGAAGGGGAGGAGACTACAAGTGGGTATCACGATGATTGGTAAAGTACCGCTATAAGAGCCTGAAGAATGCACGATATCGAATACTTCATCATGGCGAATGGACAGATTAGCTCAACTCCCAAAAAAGCACTCATATGACAACTCTTGAACAGGAATAACTAAGCTGAAGACAGCAAACCCCTGAACATATTCTGACCTTGGGCTCACTCAAATCACCTAAGGCTAACCTCAGGGCAGCCCCGGCTCACTTCCGAATGATTGCTTACCCTATGACCACCTCGGCTTGATTCGCACCCTTGGGAGCAACTGTGACATCTGTAGCGGACAATTTGTCCAGCACATCCAGCGGTGCAGGACCCGCGAGAGAACTAGCAACAGGCTCGCCGGAATTGGAGACATTTGCCGCAAGTTCAAAATGCTGAGCTCCGTAATTCCCGGCACCTTGCGCATTGCTCTTCCCCACCAAGCTTCTGAGGGACCCTGGCAGTGCCTGGTTCTGCAAGAGTAGCCCAAGACCAGAGTGGATCTTCTTGTACTTCGCGGAATTGGCCCGAATTACGCAAGACGTAAAGCTTGATGACTGTCAGGTGCAACATACCACCCGACGAGATCAATAAATTTTGGTACAATGTTGCAAACCGTTCAATAGAGAACACAGGGCAAACAACCATGATTCTAAATATTTTAGCTGAATATTCCGAAACGAACACAATCCTTATTACAATATCCAGATCCTTCTTAAGAAAACGAGAGTAACATTTGCATAACCCTGGATATCATACCATCATCTACCTGCCGCTAGATGCAAACTGGAATCTCCATAATCTTAAGCCCTAAATTTTCTCGTCAAGGAAGGGGGCCAGAATTGAAGTCGATATTTTAATTTCAGGATTCAGAAATTGAGCAATTCGATGACAAGCGTAGCCCGGGTTCTTCCTAGGTAGGTCTACAACTTTTGCTTTCATCCAAATGCAACAACGAAAGCTCGTAAACAGCCTGCATAGAGGAAATTTATAGCAGCAAAATTTGCACCTTCATCTGAGTTCTGGATGCCCGAAATTCAGAAAACAAGAGTCCGCAAAGAAAAAGCGAGACAGGTCTAGCTCCACAATCCTGATGAGTCTCACTCTCTTTCGAACACCTCCTCCCAACCTCATCGCCAGTAGTCTAGATCGTGCGCATCAAACACCTTTTCCACCACTGCAGATCGAATAACGCCTTCATCTGATAAATCTCAGTGCAAACTTTGAACCGGCTCAAAGATACACGAGATCTACAGCTCATGCATCCAAAGAGAAAGTGTGAATGAGGAATCCCAGCTGTAGCTTGATTCTAAAGCAGAAGAATCTCACTCACTACGATGAGTAACTCAAACTCACGATCTACGTACGCGCATATGGAACATGGGATATTGCGGAATCCTCGAGAGGGCAGGGTTTATGGTCATGAAACTCAAAGATTGGATGAGAAGAAGATGGCAGATACGTACAGTGGTCGCATCAGTGAACAATGTGCTCATGAGACCTCGAGCAGACAATATTTAAAAAATGTCACTGATCTGATAAATAGGAAGCACTCCATTTGAGAAAAAGACAAGCACAAAAATTACGCTACTGACATTCAGCTCAATCTACATAGCGATATTGGAGACAGATTTATCTGGCCTTCTGTCTATCGAAGAAAAACAGCGAAGGAAGCGAAGTTCCGCTTATTCATCTCTTCTCGTCCGTCAATTTCTGTGGAACACATATGATATGTTTTGGTCCTCAATCCGGTTGGGAGACTAACAAAACCAGGGTATAAGGATATAACTCTCTTAGCATTTTATACGCTTTTATTTTAGACTGTGTGAGTACATTGCCCAGAATGAAGCAGTCTTGTGGTGAAATCTACACTGAACCTGGCGTGTACTTAAGCTCCTTCACGTATTATTTACACCTTCAATCTAGAAGTTGGATATGAAATGCATATCATGACATATTCAGCACTATGATGCTGTTGGCGGCTAGCCACATACCACTTTGGTTTTATTTTGTGTGACTTGATTGGTTAGTTCCATTATATTGAATACCAAGAAATATAAGGTAAAAACATATTATTAAATTTCTTCATGATAAATATCATACAAATAGTTATTACCATTCTTATGAAAAACGAGGGTTGTTATATGAATTTGGTATACCTCAAAGATTCAAATGATAATCTTATTAAAACATATATAGATTTTTATAAAAATGTTTTTAGAACAAAAATACATATCACATAATTTCATTAAGAAATATTCTAATAGGTAACGACAATGATTTGAACTCGTTTAATGAAGTTCATAATGATTCTATATATACATTCCACAAAAAGTTCACAAATTAAAATTCCTTATCATATTTGATATTAAGCATCCCAGATGAATTTGAATGAAGATAATTTGCTTATGATTGTTCATGTTTTATGATCATGAAGATTAGATTGTTTCAATCATAAGTCAGCAATATATTTATTACACATGCATTTGAATATGTTGATAACAAAAAATTTGATGTAACCTAGATTTATTCTTACTTCAATACAACTTGATTACAATCTTCATTTGATTGATTTGAGCTAAAAAAATTTATGATCTTAATAATCTAAGCAAAAAAATATTAATTTGACATTGTGTGCATGCATATGCCACAAAAAAATTAATAAAACATTTGTAAGTATTATTGAAAATCAAATGAAAATCCTTATATCATAACAATATTAGAAAAAAAAATATTGTAAAAGTTACAGCAGCACAAAATAAAATGGAATATATGTGACTAAATATGAAATAGAATATATAGATATATATATGCTATTTCAGATATATTGTATATCATCTTCATATATTGTATATGCTCATGCTCTTATTTATCTAACTAAAGCGTATAACATGCACGTCTCTATTTCCAAATAACACATTTGAATCACATCATAATATAAAAAAGTATTTTATCAACTTAGATACAACACAATTATCAGTTTTTTCTTGTGAGTATTATTTTAAATCAAATAATACATAAAACTCTTGTATGTGTACCATCATATTGATCTAGTTTGAGAATCATGATTCTTAATATCTGTCATATTATTTTGAAATTAATAAACAATTATTTTTTAATCATGTGTAAAAACGTTATCACTGAGACTTATAATTTATGACGTTCACTATACAACTTTCTTACTTTTTTTACTTGAATAAAACAAAGCTAGTTGGGTTATCAGTTGGAATTTATTGTTGATATCACACAAATTAAATAAGATTTCTGAAGTATAAAGCATTATAAAATTTTAAAATAGAGTACATCAATTCTGTAAAATAGAAATAATAATGTCTCAATTTAGTTTATTTTAACACAAATGTCAATTAACTAAGACCTGATCAATGAAACGTTAGAATCAAGAAAAAAGAAACTTACTTTTCAAATTTTGAATGTTTATCACATATTCAAATATTCAGGTTAATTTTTAGATATCTAAAAAATATAATTTAATTCTGAATTTTTTGACACAGATACATCAAATTTTTGCACAAATTTTTTGCACTATTTCACAAAAAAAATCAATTAAATTATGAATCATGAAATTCATTTTTATATTCCTTGCATGATTCAAGATGTTTCCCAAATTCTAATGTGTATACGAATTTGATACGTATATTAATTATAAATTAAGGGAGCGACTAGTTATCTCTCAATTAGTCTCAGTTTAGGTCAATTATCCCTCATCCTAGTATAGTAGGGCGAGGGATAATTAGCCAAGTCATCCAAATTCTTGATCGGGCCCTTTTAGCCCGACCAAGTCTGTTCTTGGATACGTTCTCCAGTGCCATCTCATCGTGCTTGATCAATGAGTTCCCGGGTGATTACGTTTGGGGCACTGTCGAGAGATTTTAGCAAATGATAGATGCGTTGCTACTTGCCCAAAACTATTCAACGGCTCTGATTCATGTGAATTTGCAAAATTGTGCTTGCTAGTGCTGCCAAAGCCCCACTAGCTCGTCTTGCCCACTAACACGCAAAGCGTCAAAAAAGTTCTTTCATTTTGCTACATCTTCAGAGCATTTGGCCAAATGCTCATAAAAATGATCCAACGGATTCGAGTAAAACGCCGCGGTGATGTTGAAAAGGCTTAGCCGAGGGTTGGCTAAATCTCTAGAGGCCATAACCATAGCTGCACAATTTTCTTAGAAAAAAAATAATCCTTGCTATATATGACATGAAACAACCTCCACGACATAAGAAATCATAAATCTTGTCGGATCCAAAGCTCTAACCTCATTCTCGGTTTATGCATTGTCGGAGAACAGAGGGTACAACTAACCAATTCATACACCAAGAATTTAATTAATGGAAGAATGTCTCCATTCGCCTTCGTTGCTACGATCACTTGGGTGACTTGGCTAATTTTTCCTCATCCTAGTATAGTAGAATGAGACATAAGTAGCCTAAACTAAGGGCTAACTATCTGTTACCTAAATTAAGTAATCATTGCACAATATGATTTTTTTACTATTTTGATTTGAAATAATATTATAGAAAATTTTTAAATAATTATATGAATAAGTATATAAATATTTTATTATTATTTTTAATTATGAGTTTATATATAATTAATTTCCTTATATTTTTGAAATTCATATTTATTTTTTATATGACAATTTCAATTTTAAAATAAATATATTTATTAAAAATTATAAATTATGATAGATAATTTGGCTTGATTTGAACATCATAATCATAATTTGCACTTAAAATCAACCAAAAATTAGATTATTAAAATTTTGTGTATTTCAAAGCAATGGATTTTTAAAATTTTGTAAAAAATATTTTATAAATTCTTTCAATGCTGAAATGAATCACACGTCTCAATTTAAGTTTTCAAAACTGAAATTTTTAAAATCATTTTCTAAAATATTTCTCTTACAGTAAGGCCAAATTCACAATAGTATGTAAACTTTATTTTAATTTGATCACTAGCCTATATTTAATTATTATTATTATTACTATTATTGATAGAAATATCAAAATATTCTAACAATAATAAAATTTGTTTCTTTATTACAAGTACTGAATTTATTCAAAAACACCTTTAACATCATGTCTCATGAGTTTTGAAATCTTTCAAAATTATCAAAACTAGTTTAGTTTTGAACGAACCTTGATGATTGTTGTTGTATTTGGTATATCGGCTGTCATTGCATTCAACCGAGATTCATTTCGTTGTCTTCGTGCGGTGCTTGGCTTTTTAGATTGCTACAGTCGTCTGCTGGAATGACATGCCGATGCCTACATAATCCATTGTCAAGTCGAAACAAAAAACGTTTCTGATAATCACGGTGTAAACTGGCACATTCTCTTTCTTGCAAAACAACTTCATTGCATTTTTCTTCTCATTCTGCTTCTTGATGATCTTCTTGCAGGCCGCATCCACCGGGTTTTCCTCGTCGTCGTACGTGTCGTCAAAGTCAACAAGTTGCTTATCGTCGTGAAACAAGAGATCTCTGACTATGTCATCCACAATAGAGGAAGACAAGACAAACACATATATGTCTTTGTCCAAATCCATGTAGTGGTGCATGGTGTTCGTGCTTGATGTCCCCTTCTTCTCCTTGTTCAACAACTCCTTGTACGCAATCCACAAGGCCGCAAGTTGCCCCTCATGATGACTGCGATACTTAAACGTTGTGAAAGAATTCATGAAGTACTAAATGTTGCTGCAATGCTTGCACTTCCGCCTAGCAACTACAACCTCGACCAATTCACGGCCATCGTACACATAGAACAAGCATCGTACCGTGATGTCGCCACAGGCGTCTCTAAACAATTCCTCAGCGGCGTAGATCAGCTCATGAGTTTTTTTTGAATATGTGTCAACTTCTTCTTGCTTGCCATTATGATGTTGAGGCGCTCTTGCACAAATTGATTTAGTTTTGAGACCATGGCGGACTTAACTTTGAGATTTTCATGGCTATTTTTAGAAATCTCAAAACTTATGAGTTCTGGTGAACACCCTAATAATCTATGTAAAAAACCAATTGAACTACAATCTTTTTCTACTGTTGTCACGTGTTCATATGTGCTCAGGTTGTTATTTCTAAAGATAACAATGTTCTGACAAGAAATGAATAAATGATTTTATGCACTTATATTTGATAATTTTGTATTCTATAACATAAATACTTGAAAAAAAGCTATGTAAGATAATAATAAAATTTCTGGAATGAAAATTATCAAAATAAAAAAAAATGTATTTTATCACAAAGATATTTACAGAAAGAGTATTTCATGTTCTGAAATGCATATTTTATTCAATTCAAATATATCATTGTGTCCATTTAAAAAAAATAAAAAATTGTCATTATAGAATCAAAATTTACATAAAAAGACAGCAGTAATATTAAAATGCATGTTTTAAATTATTTTTTTATATGCTTAATTTTTTTAGTAATTATGCATATTCTGCATTACAAGTTTTTTTTTATCCGAAATGTATATTTTACTATACTTTCTTATACTATGATAAATGATAAATCATGCAAAATGCAGCGTTCAGAAGCTTAGCGGAATATTTTATCAAAGATATTCAGAGACGTTGACGGTCATAAGCTTGTTGAAAGTAAACATTTCGACTATGGACGAGTCTTGACCCGTAAATCTTGGCGTGAACAAAAGAAATTTCACATAAAAGGGCGAGAAGAATGTGCTAACAAATAGAAATCGATGATGTGAACGTGGCAAAAAGGCCACGTAGTAGTAGATACCCGACTGTAACGCTCTCACTCCAGTTGTTGAAGTAAGCAAATGGGTGGAAAGCTCACAAAACATTTGTGCAACAAGTCGGGTACTACTTTCAAGTTATCGATAGAGATTCTATGTGTCTGTTTTCTATAAAATTTCATGTAACAAAAGCTTTATCTAACACTGATTCTCACATACACATCGTTTCGTCATTAGTTTTCAGTTTCATGTTCTTCAAGAAAAAAAGTTCAAAGTCTCATACTTTACCCGCATACAACAAATCAAGATTGTATACTGTACTTTATCTTCTATTTCTTGATTGTGTGGGTTGTACTCCCCGCGGTCTCAAGAGTCAATCACGTCAAGGTTGTGATGCATGCTTGTCAACGATCTTTCTGAGTGATGATTCTGAGTTTGATCGATTGATTGAAAGTCAAAACAAAAACCGAGATACTGCATACAGTACTATCAAGCGCAATGGAAAGTCTCCCACACCCGTACAAAGAGAAACAGCCGACACTGTAGACTCTCCAGTGTCGAGAGAATGGCTACACTTTCTTCTCATCATAGGTTTGGCTGATGCGGGAACAACGCTTTCAAAATGTGGATATGATTTCTTTGTTCACATGTCAGCTCCTTGTGATCATCTTCAGTTGATACGACCGAATAAGGATAGATTTTATGGTTCAATAACATCAATCGTGGACTAAGCAATGAGCAAAATTATATATCAGGAGAATGAGGCGAGCTATCAATTCTTTCGAAAGGAGAAGTATGATCCTTATTTTGCAGTGGCTTGAAGGCATCTGCTATGAAAAGATACTTTGGAGATAAGTATCACATTCTATTGTGGTCACACCACCAACTTCTACTTATAAAACCGTCTTTTCCAACATATGTTTGCTAATTTCTAGCATTGTCTGTAACGCTCATAGTTAGTGTTGAACAGGTTTAATATTTGTTTATTTTCTCTCCGGGAAATGGGAGTAATGTCCTTTGTGTGTCATATGACGGCTGAACCATCAAAAATTACTCCCGTCTTGTTTTACAGCATCTCCTTTCCTACTCAAAGTGCTGATAAATTTATCATATGGAACACTGCTAATCGATGAATCAAAGTAAAAATGTAGCTATTTTCGGACGCATGGTTTGTTTGGTTTGAAGGTTGCACCCAAATCGTCCTATCATCGCGTGCATTGATGTGAGAATTGGATAAACCTTTAACTTTGAACTTAGTAAGGAGTATAAGGGTGGCTCATGAGATGCAAGTGGAGAATTTAAACTGCCATCCAGTTGGAAGGAGAGCTTGATGGGAGTTATTTATACTTCAATCAGCATCTTAAACCTTTATTGTTTTCTTACATTGATGAAATTTTTACTTAGCTTGATCCAAGTATATGTCTCTTTGTTACTTAATGTGGTACAACTATAGGTGGTTTTCGGTCCATTGCATATTTGAAGATTGCACAGTATATGATTTTGATATCAGGGATATAATGTTTGTTATTGCTACCAGGTTTAGGTTGCTCTAACTTACATTTCATTCATAGTTTCATGTTTACGTTGCAAACTTGTGATCACATATTTTACACATGACTTTTATAGAAAGGTCAACCACTCATATGGATGGAAAACAGTAGAGCCCTTCTTATGCAAGCGTATACTCGAAAAAAGAAGAATTGAATGCCACTTTTTTTGCATTTTAGACCTTTGTAGCACTGAAATCAATAGATATCAATATGGAGAATTGCTCGCTTCAGGTAAACTCTACAGGCTATATCATGCAACATTTGTCTATTGTATGGAGAAAACTACATAGATTGTGTAATCAATAGGAAAGCAAGTAAGTCAGGTGATGTTTTTCAAAAGTAAAATATTCTTACTCTAGAATTACATTTTCTGACTTAGATCACTGAAATACCGTAATTATATCATGATATAGTTCCCATTGTGATACTATTGGGTCACGATCCCATCTTACCCGAATGGCTTAGTCATTGCAAGGCTTGACGGGGTATACCCATCCTTTCTGCTATATTACTTATGCGTGACTTATATATTAACACAAATAGGATGAAAAGTTACTACTTATGCGGACTATACTACTCTACAATACTTCAAGTGGCATTTCTCCTCCATTACATGCCTTCATTCTCCCTGGGTGGAATTCTTGTCCATATGTCTCATCACTTTTCCCCTTGCTTCTTATCAACATTCTCTTCGCAAGTAACTCAGTAATGTCTATACGAAACATCCTTTCTAAAAGTAGCTCGCTAATGTACATAGTTGATTAGAATATATTTTCTATTGTGATACTAATAGCCTATTCATTGTTTCATCTTTGTGAGGCTTGATGTGATATCCACGTCCTTTTTGTTATATACTTGGCCCCGTGTCAGTAACTCATGAATAACGAAAAGTCTTTTTTAATTTGTGCAAAAATCACCAATTGTGTCCTCAATCAGCGAGTAGAACAATAAGTTTCTGATATGTTTCTACATACTGCATGATCGTGTTACCAGCTCGGAGAAAGAGCATTTCACAGAATCCCGGTATTGGGGGTATACGTAATTGGCTGGACTACGGTCATGCGAGTACGGGAGTCCCGGGAATGTGAAAGATCTTGACTGCATGGTATCAAGTTGACACATGTATTGGATGCCAAATCCAGTAGCTCCTAAATCGGAACATGAACAACATCACTTTGAATCATGCCACGCTGCTCCATGTTGCCTAGAACTTGGGCCTGCGAAATAGTAAATTGCCACCAGACGGGACAAGACGGTATCTCCTTACCAGTTCTTAAAACCACCACGTTCACAAAACCGCAGTGGCCAGAACATCTGCAAAGTCTGCAATTGGATCCTCAATCCTCATCGTCGGATTCTCGTCTGACGCCGATCGGAAACGTCTCATAATTACTCGAAGACCGCTGTTTTGACGAGATGCTCCAATTCCTCATTTCCGTCTCTTTGCCACACGGTTTTAGCATATTCTGCTTTCTATTCCAATCGAGTTGACCTTTTGATAATCTGAGCCATTAATGATTGATCGAACGAGGCAAGTTTCATCGTTCCCCATATACGAATTTATCCGAAATAATCCTCGTATTTAATGCGCTTACTCGCCTGGGTTTGCGGCGTGGAGTGTGTCCCCAACTACCGCGGGCTCGACCCGACCGTGGTAACTCGGTAATCAGGCTTCTACTGCACTCGCTCTACTGCGGCACTGCAGCAGCAGCAGCAGCAGAATGCATCGACAACGAACTCGAGTGTGAGCTAGTTCGAGCGTCGGAGCGCAGGCGAGCCTGCAATAATCTATCGATTATCGTTGTGCGCGATCGTCGGTGCTGTCTGTTTCGGTTGCTGTAATCGGTGCTTCTTTCGGAGCGTGATGCGAAAAAGTTTTCAAGGCATTTGTCGGTCGTAGACATCATTTCTTCGGTCAGATCTGGTCTTCGACTTTTAGCAAGTTCTTCAGTGTGCCGGATTCCTGTGGTTGGTGGAGTCAGCTCTCGCACGGAAGAATGGAGAGCTCGTGGTGTTAGGTTTATTCTTGCACTTTATGATCTTTGGGCCCTGATCTATTGGAGAGAAGGGGCGAGGGGTCGTTCGCTCCGCATAACGCAGTTTTGTGCAAGTTAGAGAAATGCGCAGTGGCGAACAGATGGAAAAAGACCTCGTTGCGGACCTTGGGAACCGATTTTTTTAGCGGTTCTCTCGTGATGTAAATTTGAGGATACTTGATCCGGATTTGAAATCTGGCAATGCCGGACTGAGAGCTGCGCAAAAGTTTCTTGGGCTTTCTGGTAGTTCCTCTTGAGGTTCTAGCAGCAATGTCGGTGCCAGTGGGAGAAGCTGTTTCGGCTCTCTCCACCTTTACGCTGGAGGTGAGCTTCCTCGCTATAATTCAAAAAATTATATGGATTTTTTTTCCCGGCTTTGGCACAAACCACAAATTACGAAAGGCTCTCTGTGTCTCAGTCATTAACTGGAGGAGGAATGCCATATCTTTCTCTAAATACACTCGGTGCTCCTCGAGAGTGAATTGTAATCGCGTGAGCTTGGTGTGCTCTTAGATAGCCATGTATTCCTTCTTCAGATTATTTAATTGAGTGACACAAATCCACTTTTAGCCATGCCCTGCTTTCTAGTGGAAAAGGGTAGGCAAGGATCTGAATTTCTTCGTCAATCATAGACCAAGTGATTTGGAGCAGCAAAGAAAGAAGGGGTCATTTTTAACTTCTGACAGATAGCTGTCTCTCAGTATCATATTTATTAAGTTTAAGTGGAAGAACTGGAGATTGTTCATGAAGCTTAACACATTGTTTTGTTTTCACTTTCCTTCCAATATATTCTCAACGATCGATTATGTTTTGATTTTAAAGTCAAGCTAACAGAATGCGCGGCTTAATGATTGGGAGCTACTACCGGTGGACGAGGGACTTCGGCTGTAAGCTTTCTAATAGACTCTTGCTGTTTACTGCTAGGATGACCAACCCGATATACAAGGGCTTGCTGTGACCTTACTCAATGGGTGGGTGGCAACTGAAAGCCCAATAGGTAAGAGTTTTGGTCACCTTCTATTGCCTCTAATTCTTTTGTTTCTGTTTTATCTTCACCCGACTGTTAGGCCAGGCCACTTGGTATGATTACTCTTGAGCCATGGTGCTGCACAACACTGTTAATCAGTCCATCCATATGTGCTACCCACCAGGTGCTCAAAAGTTTTACAAAGTAACGTTCTGGACCCCTAGTGCAAGTATACGATTTATAGCAAGGCACTTCCTACTCTGGTGCATGATGTTCCAAGTTTTCATATGTATAAGAACTGAATGGCACTGCGCAGATTATGATGATGTCCAAGCTTACCAGCTCTCGCTTCTGGACGACACCAAGTCTATTACTCAACTCGTATGCAACTGAACTTCTTAACTTTGGACGGTTTAACGCCTTTTGTAAATGTTCTTCAGAGCAATAAAAAACCCGAAATAGTTCATGTATATTGCTGTCAATCCTTCCTTAGGAAATTGCAATATTAGCATGTTGGTCTTTGAGAGCAACAAATACTGCATGTACTCACTGGCTATATTTCTATGTCTTTATAGCAAGTTGTGTTCTGTTGGAGCTGAAAGAAACTTGTGTTCTGAACAGAATAACCTCATCAAGGAGGGCAGGGACATGGTAGCTATCCTTTACACTTACAGGAGTTGTGTCAAAGCTCTCCCTCAGGTTCGTTGAGCATAGTCTTCTCTTCCTGGATTTCATAGCTTCTTCGTTGCTTTCAATCTTTAGTCTTGTTTTAAGTTGGTGCTGTTTCAACGATTTGTCTACAAGATAGTAACTTGCTGTATTGTGAGTCTGTGACAAACTTCTGCATCTAGTATCAGCGACCTAGGAACTTGTAAGGCTTATGATGAAGTTGAAATTGGTCATATTCTTTGGTCTGCTGGGCTTCTGCAAGCTAAGTTTGGCTGAATTGTTTTATACTTCATTGTGCTTAACACAGCTACCGGAATCAATGAAGCAAAGCCAGACAGATCTATATAGGGAAACTTATCAAGTTCTTGATTTGGAGATTGGACGTCTTCGTGAAATCAAACGCTGGCAGAATACTGCCTCGAGCAAAGTAAGCTTCGAACCGCTTGTTTTACAATAGTCATTCAGTTGATTTTCGATGTTCGAGCGTGATTTCCGAAGACATCACCTAGGAACAGCTACAGGATGTCAGGTGTGTAGATACGAAGTGTTGTAAGTGTCAAATTCCGAATGTCTCACGTGCTGACTCGCTATGGGTCAAGAAGGAAATCTTATTACCTCTGTTTTGTAGCTTGCGGCTGATATGCAACGATTTTCAAGACCAGATCGGAGGATAAACGGTCCGACTGTTACTCACATGTGGTATGTCTATCTCCAAGGAAAACATAATCCCCTGAACATGAACCTGGAATATTAGTTGCCTCTAGTGTTGAATGAATGAAGCCGAAACGACACTCGAAAGAGCTATTAAAAAACTACTGATTTGAGAAATTGACATTTTCAAGCCTCGTTCAACTCTGTTCATGTCATTTAAACATGGACCGATAGATCTTTCAAGCGACTGGATGGTCTTTGTCAAGGTAGTCGTCATTTCCGCGGATTGATCGTCAAAATCATTCTCATTGCCAGCGATATATTTAAACTCGGCTTTCGTTTGTCGCCAGGTGTATGCTTAAGCTCTTGGATGTTCTCCTCCAGCTGGACCATTTGAAAAACGCGAAGGCTAGCATACCTAACGATTTTTCGTGGTACAAGAGGTTAGTGCAACTCTGGCATGACTCTAGCCTCAAATGCTGTCTTGTAGGAAGCAAACATGGCCTTGAATAATAGAAGTCGAGTAAAGTTTACTGAGAATGAGAACAGTTTACCAAACTTCTCGGAGAAAACCTCTGGATTCCATATATATCTAACTGCTCTGTATTAAGTCAAGCATTTATGTAGTTAACACGTGTTACCTTCTTGATGGAGATGTCAGAACATTTACTCAAGTCAGCACTGAGTGGGCTGACAGCGACTCCATGAGAGAAGAATTGGACGATTTGCAGGTACCTTTAGAGTTTGTTCTTGCATGACAATGTTGTTTATCTGTATGAATACGTCGTCAGTGATGAGTACCTTCGGTTATTTGTGCCGACGACTTTGTTCGGTCTGCTTGAGGTTTTGTAGGTTCTGTAGCATATGTTGCAACGAAACTCCGGAATTTCGGTTCAACTTGACCCTCAACTTCGGACATGTCTTGCAAGATATGCTACTCGCCACGGAATTTCGCTGATGTATGGATCAATCAACTGGCCGTGGTTTTGTGCTCTTTAACAGATATTTTTGAGCACAAGGTGGATAATCTTGTTAAACTTGCAAGTCGAACTGTTTCGTGTAAACAAGTATCCTCTATTATTTCATTAATATGACATGCTTGCTGCATTCGCTCGTTTCCTTATGATACCTTCATTTGTATTTTCCGAAACTTTATCCTTGACTCAAAATTCGACACGACTAGTGTGGAGGATATTCTTCAAGTTCTCATGCTTTTCTGTCTTGAATCATTGGAGTCGGATCGCGTTCTTCTCTACTCGGAGCGACATGTTCTTTTGAGAGTTTTACCAGTAGTTGTCATACTGGCCACATCTTCAGTTAAGGAGGGTGATCAAGTTTTCAAGAGAATAAAAATAAATCGACTGATTCGCATTTTCAGGGTGAGTTTCTAACCACTCTCATACAATACTAATGTCTATAGAATGCCTGCCCTACAAGGTAGCAGCACTAGTTTACTTGCGATGTATTATATTGTCGAAATTGAGTTCGAAGTTGTTACAAAGGCGTGAGTACAGTATTGACCCGTAGTATGTTTTTGTGTTTTACAGAGGGACCCTGTAGTCCCTGCATTTCCAGATTTGCATATTGCTCCAGCGAGTATGCTGAAGGAGCTCTCTCCATACTTCAGAAGATTTGCAGCCCAGAGTCGGCTGATTGCTCTGCCTGCACCCCATGAACTCAACATCCGGGAGGCTATTGAATATCCTACCAACAAATTCAATAATTTTAGGACTTGAAATTTTCAAAGTTGATTCTTTATGCTTGCATTTAGGTGCTGGACAATGGTGAATTTGGAACGGAAGGTTGAACCTTAACTGACAGCAAGTACCAGAGGGAATACTCGATATTGAACCATATTCCCGCTATTCGATCGGCTCATGATGATTTTTGTTTGCGGTTTGCGGCAGCAGTGAACCAGGTATGTTGTCAATGAGTTCGTTATGTTGTGCTTTAAAGTCAGATTCTCATGTTCCCGCTAGTAGCATTGCTTCTACATTAGCGCTTTCGTGTCAATTACATATCCCCTTTTCACTGGGTCAAGCATCTGACCCAATAATGTTCTGACACGCTGTCTAATTATATCTGCACTCACGTATATATATATCTGTAACATCAACTGATGTCTTATTTCGCAGCTGCAATTGATGAAACTGGCCAAGGAAGCAGATGACATCACAACCACACAAGTGAAGGAGGATATGTATATGGTAATCGTCGAAGGATTTCAACTCCTGAGTGAATGGACGGGTCGTGTTTGGGAGCAATGTGCTTGGAAATTCTCCCGGCCGTCAAAAGACGCACAGCCCTATGATAATAACACACCTCTCACCGACTATGAAAAGGTAATAGTTTTCCGACTGCTGCGCTTTTTTAGTCAGTCACTTTGAACGCGTATATTTAGTTGTACAATAGCAACTTTAGCAGGGTAACAGTTTAAATTGATGCTTTTCTACCTACACCAGTGTCAGTCTACTCAACTTACTGATCATCTCATTATCTGAAATAAAACTTCAATACTTTCTGTCCTACTGTTATTGGCAGTATTTCAGATTTTGACATTCTTTGTTTTAGATTTGAAACCTTCCCTTTCTTGCCCACTCGACCATCATGATCTCAACACATCCATATTCTGACGACACCCCTAATTGTTGTAAGGTCGTTCGCTGTAATTATTCAATTGTGGAGAGGAAGGCACTACTAGAACTTACAAGCTACATAAAGGGCGTGGGCACGATGATGGAGAAGGTGGATACTATAGTAGCCGAAACAATTTGGGAAACTGTGCATGCTCAAGTGCAGGATTTTGTGCAAAACAAACTTGCCGTCATGCTTCGCACAACATTCAAGAAGAAGAAAGATATATCGAGGTAAATGCGACATTTTGCAAGTATATCGAGGGTTTGTCACTATGACAGTACCATGAATGTGAGCGTCAGATGTAGCCATTCACCTGTGACGTCTGACGTGCTTGTTTACGTACGGTTTGGTAGTAGGACTGTGGATTTGATGGAATTCGCCTTGTAGTTCCACTCATCACATTGTTTTGATGTGTTGCAAGCAATTTTATCAGAAAGGTCCGACCGCTGGTTGTAAACCACCACATTGTCTCATCCGGCTTTACAAGTTCCTCGAATGTTGACCAGTGAGCTTGAACAAATCAAATATTAGGAAGGAGGTGACGGCCGTAACAGCTTTTATGTTACGCAAGCGCTTGATATTTACTTGTTTACTTTGCAGAATACTCACGAATATGAGGACAATTTCAGCAGACTGGATGGGCAATGCTAGTAATGAGCCAGCCGCAGGGAACAAAAAGGTCAAGGAGGACACTACCCCCGTAGCATTTCGACCTCGACCAGCAGCACCCACAGCAGCTCAGGTGGACCTTCTGCCTTTACGTGTGCTATTTTCTGGTTGAAGTTTGTTTCTTTGTGCAAGAGCATGCATTATAACGAAAATTTGAGATTGCTGAACTCTCAAAAATGCTGATTCAAGTCATTCTTGCGGTCTAGATTACCATATATCACCACTTCCAGATTTGGTTTACATCCTTTTAGAAACAGACCTGTTAGAGTGGTAGTGAACTCAGACTATTCTCTTGATGTGGTTGACGGTACTGACTTGAAGAACGTACACGAGGCTATCTTTATATTGAAGTGACGCTTGAGTCGTTAATGGCTCTTTCATGCCTTGAGCATAGCCCCTTATTGTCGTAACTTTTTTTTTATTTCAGTTACACTGCTTACAATTTCTTATCCATGAGCTAGTCTCGGGAGGAGCTCCTAAGAAGGCTGGAGGATTTTTTGGCAGTAGTGATACCGATATCCCTTCTGCTGACATGAAGCTGCTCGAAAACTTCTTCAATCGGCTTGCTTTCTTCCCCCACATTTTGGATTATCGAGGTACTGTTGAGTTCGGAGTATATCTTCTCTGCTGAATCTGATATAACCTCTAAATTATTGAGGTGAATACGTCATCTTTCTCCCATTTTGCATTGGACAGTTACATTAGTCACACCCTACTGCAGATTCGGTGCGTCATTGGTTTTACGCAGGGCGTTTCTCAATGGTAGCTGATTGGCTTTTGTTGCTGATCGTTTTCTCGGGCTACTTATTCACAAACAATAATATTCAGCACCATAATTTGGTAATATGGTATGCCTGATTGTGAATCATGTTAAGTAATTGAGGAGACATTTCTTTCGCCGCCAGAATTGGACACATCGTTCATAGTTCACGGAGTTCATGCTACACTCAAAGTCTCAAGCTGATACAATCATGAAGAGTCTCGACGGTTATATGGAAGATCTAACGTTTGTCACCGTTCCATGGGCAGCTACCCTCATCCACGTGTCAGACTTGGGATTTTTGTGGTTTCGAGAATTCTATTTAGAAACATCAAAGGTTATTCAGGTACTACTTCTGCTCAAAAAATTGCTTCAGCTTTGACCGAGTCATAAAGTTTTTAAACTACTATCTGCCTGTCATTTCTGAAGTTCTTAGAACCCGTCCTCTGGCTGAGCGGTGCCTTAAATAAATACAATCATCCTAGATTATAAACTATCTTATTTTATTTAACTATATCTAATCTTGTTTTTTTTCTCATTGTGATCTGAAGCTAAGCGCGGTACCTTCTCTTGGACGTGGATACTGTATCTTTTCTCTAAGACTGAATCGTGATTTCCTCATCTATATTAACTGTGCAGTTCCCAATAGAGTGTTCGCTGCCGTGGATGCTGGCAGATCACATCATCGAATCCCAAGATGCTGGGCTTCTCGAGAGCGTGCTCATGCCCTTTGATGTATACAACGATTCCGCTGAACATGCTCTTCGTGTCTTAAAGCAGAGATTTCTCTATGACGAGATCGAAGCCGAGGTATGGAACATGTCACCTCCAAGGGTTTTCTCTCTAAGACCTTTCAGGTTCTATCCCTATTTCTGATACTTGTGTAACGGCTTATTTGCATCTGTGTTGCAAATGACATGAGTCAACTTTCTGCAGGTGGATTTGTGCTTTGATCAACTTGTGTACAAACTCAGTGAGCACATGTTCTCTTACTATAAGAGCTGTGCTGCAAGGTAAAGTGGTCCAAAGAATTTGCTGTTAGCACCGACGTTTTTTCGGATGTTTCATATGTATCGGATTTCCAGTAAGATTCAGATTAGAATGTCACATGATGAGGATAAATTTCTGGGACTTAATATGAATAGTAGCAGGAGCCTAATCCATCCTCTAAGTTTCTACAAATATGAGCCAGCTGACGGGGTATCACTAATTTTGTCTAACCATTTTGGATCCTGCAGTAAGATTTTGGATCTTGCTTTCATTAGTGCCGTTGAAAATCGTGACAAATACAATATATTCCCAAGGCGATACGAATCGTTGTTCAAAATGCGTCACTTCAAGGTAACCTTTGGCTCTCAAAGATGATTGCACTAGGGATGTCTTTTGTTGAAAATTTAGATTGGCGATTGGAAATAGCTCTAGTTATTCTTAAGATAGCTCCAAATATGCCTCTTAAGATAGATATAGAACTGAAACGGCTCGTTTTTTTGCTCCCTTGAGAAGAGAGTAACAGCGATGCCCTGGTCCGATGGCAGCCGTTTGATACAAGTTGCGTCTTGAGAGTTATATCTGCTTCGTTTCTTTTCCATGATAATCTCACGCTTGAACCATACATTGGTTCGCTAGTAATTAGAATGTGTCGGTTTGGTAAAGGACAATTGTAAGTTACATAATTGTGGTGAGTATTACAAGAAGTGAGTATTACAAGAAGCAATCAGGATAGCACGTACAACATGGTGCAATTGTCTTACTGTTGTCTATTGAATGCAATCTGGAGCAAATGGACAAAATAGTCCTCATTTTTCTTCCGTCTTCCTTGATACAGCTACTTGGGCGAAGTATAGATTTATCCTTTTTACTGGCGCAACGAATGAACAAGATTTTACGAGAGAACTTGGAGTTTTTACTCGAGCGTTTTGAGTCACAGGACATATGTCATGTGGTGGTGAGTAAAGGTGGCCTTAGGAGTTGAGATAGTATACAACTATTTACTTCAATCAATTTTTTTACTATGCATCACACTCTCTTTGATTACCAGCTGAATCGAACTGAGCAGAAGGTTTTTACTCCCACTCTTAATCTGATTAATTTTCGGGCGGGGATGAGAATGCAGGAGCTACAGCGGTTGGTCGATATCCTGAAAGCTACGCATGAGCTTTTGTCAGAGCATCTAACACTTGATTCTTTTACACTCATTTTGAGCGAAGTCATGGAAAACATTTCTCTCGTTTCCTTCTCAGGCCGACTCGCCTCTCAGGTTTAATTTTTTCTCTGTCTTCATAAATTACCTTTGTTGACCACGAAATATCGGTTCGGCAGTTGTGATTACTGGAGTATATTGTTGATGCCAAGTTCTCATTAGTCCATGCATGCAGATATTTCAAGAGGTGCAAAACGATCTCCTTCCTAATTTCATCCTATGCAATACCACGCAACGATTTGTAAGATCTATAAAGTCTTGTCAACGACCTATTCGAAGGCCTGCAATTCCTCATGTGAAGTCAAGTTTTATGTGTGGATCTCATGTAAGTGCGATTCTCAAGCCCAAGGAGATTTTCATTGTTGGTTATGCGATTAATCAATCAAGTACTTCAGAACTTCGTTAGAGTTGTGACTTCCATTTTGAATGTAATTTATCTGCGTGCAGATAATGTTTGCAAATTTCTTAAAAATGTTTCGATTGTTCGATGACAGCTATGTAGGATGTGGCATTTGGTCCACTAACGCTACCATTATTCATGTTTATATTATACTCGTAATAGTTTACAAATGATTGGTCAGGAAAGAAGCACCTGTTAAAGATGTGTTGATATCTAGGAGAGTAAAGCTCTGAAACTTTCAAGGCTAAACCACAAACTGTAAAGCTTGTGGGTTAGCTTCAGCGTCGTTCTTAAAGTTTACGAGCTTTCAGACGTAAATTGTACCCTGTACATCTCGAAGATAAAAAATCATATCTGTGAGAATTTGAACAAACAGTGTAAGTTTCAGCAAATTTGCAAACTTGAAAAAATTTCTGACCGAAGCCATCTGATTTTTTGAACAGGATCTGAATACAGCACACTCCGCAATCTCTGAACTGTACAGCAAATTTTTTGGGTTACCTCACATGTTTGCGATATTGAAGCTACTGGGATCACGGTCTATACCCTGGCTTGTGCGAGCACTACTTGATCACCTCTCTCAAAAGGTATGAGCGTAGATTTGCAATATACTTCTTTTCGTTCTCTCTTCCTCTGAAACATAGTGTTGTGTCAAATGCGTGCATTCTACCTTAAACTTATTTGAGTTGGTTACTAAATTAACAAGCATGATCACATGAAGTTTGATCTCAAATTAGTGAAGTCCAAACTCCACACCGGAGATTCTTAAATTATTTGTCTTGTCAAGATGACTCTTTGCTTCCTCTAAGTTATCTTTTCCTTCATCTTGGTGGAGAAAGCAGTTGTTGACTATTCCGTTTTTGACAGCTGACATCCTTAGAAGGGAGGATCGATGAGCTGCGTGGAGTTTTACCTAAAGTAATATCTATACCCGCCCCTACTTTGGGGGTGACAGGTACATAGTAATTTTGAGATATTTAATAGACTTTATTGCCTGATTGAATTCTTTTTTTCGCTTTTTGACGACGATTTCAAGTATCACCACTTTTTTTAAGTAACTATCTGAAACTTTTCTCCACCTTGAACATCACTGACATGACAAGGGAGTGATTCAAATAGTTTTTTTTCCTGAATCTTCAGGTTGCTTGAAAATCTATAAGGATCAGTTGCATTGGGCAACGGAGTATGAACATAAGGTTGAGGTTCTGCAGAATCTGAAAGAGATTGGGAGCCTCATATTCTGGATGAGCCTTCTCGACACAGCTATGGTATGCCATTATTCTTGTCTGTGTTCACTCAGTGTTGGCACCTTACATTCTTGTACTGGCCTGCAAGGATAGAATTTGTTATTGTAGAAGTAGTTGTCTTGATTGGAATTATGCAGAAAGGATAGGGCATCAAAGCTCTAATAAATGGTTCTCTCTATGTTGGCAGAGAGAGACAGAAACTGTGCATTTTATGCAGGTTGTACCATGGCTAGGCGTTGTTCCTGGAAGTGAAGCTCAAATGCAACAACTTTTGGATGATGATGGACACAGTCCTCTGGTTAGCTTGTTCAAATCAGCAAGTGCTGCAGTAGCCGCGGATCCAGAGACAGTCAATCCTCAGTCATTTGTTACCATGTCGAAACAAGCAGAAGTGGCAGGTATGGTAGCCATGCACGTTAAATCTCTACTGCTCATCTTTATTTTTGTCTCTCATTACTCTTGGGGGAGACATGCAGTGAAAATTAGCAGTTATATAGATGACTATGAGTATGGTATCTTCGCCTTTGAGTTTGTCTGCAGATAAAGAGCTTGTCTGAAGTGAGATCTAATGTTAGATTTTGTTTTTATTGGAGTCTACAGATATTCTCTATGTCAACAACTTGCAGACTGGCAGCACTTTGGACTATACTCTTGCATACCTTAGTGCAATACTAGACACGGTTAGGGGAAAGTGGAACTCACCTTCCAAAACTGGTCTTATAGAGATAACAACTTCCCGAGAGTTTCATCGAATATACAGTGGCATCCAATTTGTGAGATCTTCTGCACCGAAAACACTTGAGTGCAAGATATCGCTTTATTTATGTGTACTTACTGGGTTCAATATTGTCAGGAATTCTTGAATTTCAGCCTTAATCACTGTGCATATAAGATGTTGAAGAGGACCGAGAAGGTCTGATTGTAATGTCAGACCATGCACCTCCCATATTCATTGCTCTTAGTTAACTGAAGCTGTTCTTTTACAGGAATTATGCTTTGATGGGTAGGACAATGTTATCTGATAAGTGAAATATGTTTGCTAGGTCTTTTGCGGGGAGCAGCTGGATGAGAACGAAACAAATCAGGAGCAATTTGGTGATGCAGTTGCATGGGGTGGATGTACTGTTGCATATTTATTGGGACAACATCTACGTTTTGAACTCTTAGATTTCTCCTATCATGTTTTAACGGTGGGTGAGAGTGAGGTCAATCCTGGAGCTCATAGTATTCCTGACAAGATCTCAAAAACATACAACATCTCTGCGGTAAGTTTATAATATGATTTTATGCAGAACATCACGAGATGATTAACTTTTACTTAACGACATTCAAGTTTGTCATCTGCTGTAGAGCTTCTGTAATATCGTTCAGTTTGCAGGATCCCAACATTAGAAAGCTGTATGAACTTAACCGAGACTCCCCTTCGACTTAACCTCAAGTTAATCGCGTTACAATGGACAATTTGCGCAGGAACTTGTACGCTTCTTGGAAAGTGCCAGGAAAGCCAGACGGCTCAACAGTCATGTCTTCACTATGTTGCGAGCTCGTTTTCCACACGAGGATAAGTTGGCGGCACTGGTTAAACAAAGTGGAACGGTTGTCCATCGAATTAAGTACCCAAGCACCCCATCAGCTTTCGACACCTTACCAGCAAAAGGTAACGTGTAGAGAGTTCTCAGCCATCTAATACCTGGAACACACTTCTTCCCCTGTATAAAATACTGTAGTGTTTGAAGAGTAACACAAGTTTGGGAGACCGCTTATTCACCGTGAGTATCCTCTTGTCCTCCATCAGTTGCTGGTAATTTACTTGGGACCTATTTCCTTGGATATTTTTCTGCCAATAGTAATTTTATGTGTTACTGTGATTTTTGAATTGATATTTATGTAAGTAAATACTTGGAGTGCCGAATAATCAGCACATTCCATTCAACATATTTTGGAACTGTCCAGACTTCCAAATTCTCAGTGGTATAACAGACTGTTGAGGTTTAAGCGTGAAGGTCAGAAGTTCCACGTAACCCTACGGAGACGTCTTTTAGAGCCACCGACCATGTTTTATTTACTGAAGCGTGTTCCTCTTACAGGAAGCATGGAGAGAATGAATGGTTATGAGACAGAAGTAGTAATGTCTTAGGCGATGAGACTGTCCCTTCTTATGCGTGGCTCAGTCCATTCTTTTATTAGACAATCATTTAAAAGAAAGAAGACTCACGGAAAACGTGCCTGGTATTAGATGTCAACTTTCGAGAGAAAAAATTTGGAACGTTCATTTGCAAAGGAAACTTGTAATGGGGAGAGAAATTGAGCTAATTGAACGTTGATAATAACGGCTCTTATAACCACAGCGCAAAACGGATAGTGTAACAAGGGGCAAGACCATCCTGCTTCGTTAGTACCTAATACTGTTCGTTCACACCGGACGATACCTAATACCCACTAAACAGACGCGAGAGATAGACCTTGTAGTTTCGTTGATGATACTGATTTGTCTTGCAGTGCCTTCAGTGGCTTCTTTTTGTCCTCCTTTTTCTGACTGACTTCCATATCATGTAAATCCATGTACATAATTTTCTCACCAGTGTTGTGAGGAAGGTAATAATGGCTGTCAAGTAAAAGTTTTCACGGAGTAGTGGGTTCGTGGAATATTGATGTGGACTGACAAAGTTCTCATTTCCAATTCTTGGGGCATGTTGGAGCTCCACGAAGTCGTTCAAACTTATCTGCAGATGTAATCTCTAGGAGATTTCAATCGTTCTTTGCATTAGAAACAAAATATCCCTCAATCCATGTTTTGCTCTTTGAGAATGAGTTATGAGGTGCTACATGTGAAGTGGTTGTGGATTTCTGTGTTAGTTAAATTTGAAAACTTTTCCTAACCGATTAGAAGGCAAGGCATGCTTGCTGCGTATCAAGTCTTTTTGCGCGATTTTGTGGACGCACGTAGGACAGACAAGATTATTACCTCAGGTATTAGAATGTCAAGTTACTCGTGTAAAAGTTGAACATGCATGTGATCACTGAGTGGTCAAGAATTCGGAGTTTGCCAAACTCTAGTTTGATTCACATTATGAGCGGTTTCAAATGATCTGCAAGGTGAGCCACCCTTTACATGTGTGCACATCCTAGTTCATTGTCTACGAATTGATGAAACGTTTCTTCAAGCTCCCCCGTGCGCTACGTGTTAGACGCTTTAGAATTATGCTACGTCAAGTAGTGCACTGCATCATAAGGAAGAATCTAAAGATGGGCGGAATTCCGAAAAGTGCTGACACTGGTATGTATCTACCGCCTTCCTCGATCCTCTACTCTAGTTTCTCGATCAAAGCCAGCCCAGAAACACTTGGGATTCACAGACGTTCCCACACTCTTCTACCCTTCGAAATCTATTTTCCCATATCTCATTTCGGTAGCTTTTGATTGGCGGGCTTTATGCATGGTTCCATATCAATGTCTAAAGAGCCTCTCTTTGTCAAGCAAGTTTGTACTATCTTGTCGTTTGCTCCCATAACGAGGTACAGTTAGAGTTCTGATGTGTCAGAGCGTGTCAGACGCAGTAAATGAGTCTGCCAACTTGGTGGACACTGCTTCACGTGGTAATCCATGCAGGCCGTATTTTTAGTAGGATCGACTCTTTGCAGGTGGTATACGGAGTAGTTGTACTGTACCGTTCTGCACTTCACCGCACTCGTTCGAAGCTACTGCGTGGTACGCTTTAGTGAGTTGGCGCACTTGAACGCCGGTGGGTACAGCAAAACAGGAAGAATACCCTACCGCTCCTCAAACGCCACCGCGATCTCGAGGCCAATTCCTTCCCACTTCAAGTTGATGAAGAGACCAATGACAAGTTTGCGAAGGGGAGAACACCGTTGGACCGTGCCTGCTATGAGGTTTTTTGAAGCCCGAATATCTCAGTTGTTCCCCTTACGTCTCAAGGAAAGGCAAGGTTGCCCTGAAGTCAGCTGCGGACTTCTTACCACGGTGTCTTTACAAGCTAGGCAGTGAGATCAAGTGATACAAGACATGTGGAGAAAAGGTGTAAGCACCATCACTTGGTGGGTTAATCTCAAGTGCTTAGAATCTCACTATGGGATGTCGAAAACCTTGGGGTTTACATCACCATATGATGTCGTGTGCCCTTCCAGACCACGGAGCAAAAGATAGAATCACTCATGGACACCAAATTAAGCATCCTATGCCTGATTGAAACACCATTCACCCACACCTACTACGCTTTCGCCGACGCTTAAATCGCCGCGGAAATCGGCGTGGAAGTCGTGTATTTCCATGAAAACCGGCACGTGCCTGTCGTTGGTAAGTTTACAGGTGCTACAGGTTCCTGGCTCACAGCGTCGGTCCAAGTTTGCTTGGTCCGCGTCGCCGAGCACCGATCCCGAAACTGGCGCCGTCGCTGTTTAGAATCATATTCATAATATCATTGCTGGCAATAGATTCGTATTTCTGCTGCGTTCGAATAGTTACTGTCAGTCTGCAGTTGAGGAGAATTTCTGTGTTTGTGGGTGCCGATCGGATCTTGATTATTGGAGACTAAGGTTATTCTGGATTGTATTTGAGAGCTGCCGTCAACGATGGCACTAGTCAGTGCTCAGAATCTTGTATCTCAGAATGCGGTTGTGGTATTCAGGTACGGGATTGAATGCAGATTGTACGCATACGACGTCCGATGTGGTCATGTTTTTTTATTTGAATGTGTGTCTTTGCATAACTCAACATCTAAATCTGATTGTCTAGGACGGACTCCAGTCTGTGCACTGGAATTCTGTCAAAATTGTGCTGATTTTCCGAATTCAGCTCCAAGGTTGAGAGTTTACAGGAAAGCTTGTTTCGGATTGTTGCCCAGAAACGACTTACATGCTTGGCTATATAACAATCTACGGATGGCTTTTGACGCTTGAAGTCCGCGACGCTCATGCACTCATATCTTGTTGAATCTTCTGACCTTGTTCTCCTTACCTGACATCTTTTTGATTGAGATACTGGCTGCTGCTTGGAATTTTACGTGCAAGTCGGATTCATGTTGTAAGAGTAGAAGTTAGACTTACTTTTGTGTGGGTACTGTTGGATCGTTTCTCTTGAATTGTAAGTCAGCCTCTTTCTTGGGGAATTGGCTCGGGTAAGCGACTGCGCTGAAAAAAAAGAAGTTTTAGTGGAATACTAAAGTCAGTCGCTAGATATAACCATCTAAAACCAATTAGCGTTTCTAACGATTAGCGGTTTACGCTGTAGAGTCTAGATATGCTGGTAGCAAAGATGGAAATTATCATGTTCTTGCTCTTGGAAAAGTACAAAAGTATCTCACAAATCTGTTAGTTCAAGTGTCGATGCTCTGGAAACTTCTGATCACAAACTGTTTGGAAATCAATCTCGTCATTGATCACGGCGCTTAGTTTGAAAATGTGAAGCTATGATAATGCTCGCTTTGGACCCTGACGAACATGTTTTCCAGGCAAAGAGGGGTTTTATGAGCATGGTTCTACTCTTGTGGAGACAGGTGATGTCCCCGCTGTCGACGCAAGCTGCCTCATGCACTGTGAAAACGAATCTCATGACATCTGAAATCTTTCTAAAGCATGGCTACTGTTTTCAGAAGTGACTGTCAATCGTTGTGTCCTGCTGATTCATGTATCATTTGTCAGGTCATTCAGACTTCTAGGTCTTTTCAGGGTGTGATGTAAGAAACCATAGTCCATTTCTGCTGGATCCCCTGGATGTCTGCAAAGTTTGTTATGCCGGGGGAAATGTTTCTGAAAATCGTAATGACATTATGGCAAGGTGAATTTAAAATGTGGCATGAGCATGAGCATGAGTGAGAGAGTGTTCTACCTTTGACGGATGCCGTGTTTTCTTTGCAGCAAGTCATATTGCCCCTACTGTAAAAAAGTGAAGCAGCTGTTATCGAGCTTGGGGGCTCAAGTCAAGGTCGTGGAACTTGACCTCGAAAGTGAGCTCTCTTACTTAACAAAAAAAATGTTTAAGCATGAATTTTTACTTTACCACTGTAGACATATCAGTAGGGTTAAATTAATGAACTTGTCTGTGACATTAACATCATGCACCTGTTTCCGTAGAGGATGGAGATGAAATCCAGTCAGCTTTAACAAATTGGACCAAACAACGCACTGTCCCAAATGTGTTTGTTGGCGGACAACACATTGGTGGTTGCGACGGTCAGTATTTGCCTGTAAACTCTAAAAAGTTCATTCATCTTTAGTCGTTTTATAAAAGAAAATGTGGAGACTCTGCATGCTGCAAGAAGTGGAAGGCGGATAATATCGTAGCAAGGTTGCGTTAGTTCGTTGTATCAGTTCTGAGTAGCTTCAGTTGCTATAGATCGTGTTGTTGATACCGATTCACGTCTGTCAGATTTTTTTGAGTTTAGGGTGCCTAGTGGGATCTGAGTTCATACAGTTGGGTGTTTGCAGACACAATGTCCAAGCACAATGGTGGAAAGCTCTTACCACTTCTGAAGGAAGCAGGTGCTGTCTAAATGCTTCAATGGCCCACTGTAACCTACAATCTTGAAACAGGCATTTAACATTCTGTGAACTGCTTACAAAAGTTCTCATCCATCAATTGAATCATCTGGAGAAAGAAATAAGCCTGGGACGTATATACTTATTCTTTAGTCTGAAATGACTTTAGTCACGTGGGAGCGCTCCAGATCCTATGATGTTTAGGTCATATGCATTACCGAATAAAAATGTTTTGCTTGATTTCAAGTTTTGAAAAGTGTTTGTTTTGTTTGTGGATGTCAACTGTAAATCTTCCGAGTTTTCTGAAAGAGACATGGATCTAACAAGTTCCTGTTTCAGACTTCGACTTGCCTTATTCCATCATCATGTAAACAATTCTGAAAAGGAACTTACAAGACATTAATGAGAGGTGATTAGTCATATATTTTCAAATCTTTATTCTTATTTATTCACTTTGCAAGTTTGAGTATTCTATCTTGGTTATTGATTTAATCTTCCATTTGATGAAGTGAAGCCAGTGAAGAAATGTAATCAGCAAGTGGCAACAAAAGTTAGATCTATTATATACACTTAAATTGCAACCGTGTGAAGATGTTCTTACCTTGCATAATACAAATTACATAATACTTTAAAAAATACATCACTTTTCGCCAGGTAGATTTCGTAACGTAAAAGTGAAATGGGTAATAAAATGTTCTCTCCTTTTAGTTTACCCCTACCCTTACCACATTGTTCATGCTTTACTTATACCTTTATACTTTAACCGGGTAATTACCCAATTAAAAGATAAAATACACTTTATCTTCATTTTACCTTTACATTACTAGATAACCTGGTAATTACCCAATAAAAATATAAAATACACTTATCTTTAATTTATCCAATAATCAGATAATTATCCAATAAAAAAATACATTTTACCTTTGTTTTACCCGTAAACTTGTTGATTAACCAATAAAAAAATAAAATACACTTTACCTTTACTTTACTCGTGAAGTTGGTAATTATCTAATAAAAAAACTCAATAAGAATTAAAAATACACTTTACTTCTATTTAAGAGTTAACTTGGTAACTAAACATATAAAAAGTAAAAAATTTATTTAAAAAACTTTTAGTTCAACTCAAAGACCATTTCTTCGAATTGGTTGTTGAGCATCTGCACTACGTCGCAGTCATCAAAGATTTACTCGTAACAATCTCCGTTCGGTTGACGACATCTTCAATATCATCGGTGTGGTTCTCTTTATCAATGAATCTGATTGTTGCAGCTGCTATTGCTCGGTCTGCCGGCGCTTTGAGTATCTTTGCATCCATCCATGGATGTAATGACATGTTCATGATGAACACCGATTACGATAGGGATTGTCGAGAGCCGGTAAACTCACTACCAACAACACTATTGCCATGCGCTGATGGTGTCGACGTGGCCAACGTCCCAAGATAGTTCATGATCATCTTATGGTGTGCATGCAAGATATCCATGTGGGCTAACTACCAAGACAAGATATCAATAAAAACCATACATTAGACTACGTCGATGAATAAGAATTGATCTGACTCATCGAGCATAATATTATCGCTCTCTGGTGAGAACATTGCCTGAAAAAGCGAACTGGTCGGCTCTTCAGACTCAACACTCAAATCGCGAGACTGCAATTCAGTCAAAAAGTAGCGCATAGGGGTATATCTAATAAAATCAGTCAACTTTTTTAGTTGCACAATATCAGATGATTTTGCTACTTGCGGATTGAGGTAAACTGCAACTATGGCGTGTTCTAGCACTAACAAATTTTCATATTCTTCAATTTTTTCCTGCATTTCGGTTACCATAATTTTGGGATTGATTGCTAATACTTGTATTTCACTCATTTTGCAATACTTCACAATATGAGCAATGGATAGTAACAACAAATCAAGCTTCGGCTTGTGATCTGCGACAAGGTTTTGCATGACTAGGCGCGACGCGCGCAAAAAAGTAACCACATCGTTTGACATTTATCACAAAGAGGAGGACGACCAATATCAATTGCTAATTGCTCCATAATACTGTCAATGACAGTTTGTTTTCAAAAGCGTCGACCCCCATCTGATGTGTGGAATCTCACAACGTTGGAAAATCCTGATGTGTTGACTCATGGTTGATGAGGCCGGCAGTTGCATCCTCCAAGCAATATTGTTGCCGCATCATCTTGTTGCAACGAATCTTAACGAGCACATCGCGCAACGACTCCATTGAATTTTTTGTGAAACTAAGTACTTTGATAATAGCAAGTTGAATTGAATGAACGGCACAACGCACATGATTAAAATTGGACATCCGCTCAAAACCAACTGATGCATTGATCAACTGAAGCAAACGTTTAACTGCAGCAATAACGTCAGAATTATTGTTGCTGACCACTTTCAACAATCATGTAAGTACGTCGGTGCCCATATACTTCAAGTGTTCAAAAAGATCAGTTCAAACGTGTTGACTGACGCCAAATTCACACTCTACATCCAAAATGGTAAGTAAAATACTCTTTGGTGAGAACGTTTCGATGTCAATCTAGTGAGCAGTCACCACATAGAAGTCCTTCATATTTTGATTTCGACCAGTTGTTCATTGTTAGAGAAAATGCAACATCTAATTTGCTGAAGAACAATCCAACATGGATAGCAATATACGGTAAAGTTCTATAATTCGCCTCAAAATTGTTGTGTTAATGAAGATTCATACCCATTCGTGAGTGTGGAGACCATTCTTTTGAATTCGTGAGTGTGGAGATCATTCTTTTGAACCGTTCACTGCCGGAAACACAAAGAGACACACCATCAACGATGATGTAATCTACAACTGCATTTTCATAATTATGGAAGCTTGTTCCGAAAACACAAGTTTGTCAATTGTGGATTGGATCGAGCACTTTGCTAACGGTTGGGAATAAGATATTTCATTCTCTTTCACTACATGTGCCGATTGCAAATGGAACTCCCAATTTGACGCATTAGTCTTTTGGGGATGTCATCTTTTGCACAAGGTACATTTGCATTTCATATACTCCTTTGAGAGATAGTCCAATTGCAACTCATGAACATACATTCAAGAAAAGTTACGCTTTGATCGTTTACGCTTGGAGGTGCTCAAAATCACCATTGAGATCAATTCGACACAATTACTATATTCCTGTTCATTATCCCGATCAAATTCAGCAACGCTATTAAAAATGTCGTTGTCAACGTTGACATCACTCATCTTGATTACAGATTAATGTGCTCATAGGGTTAAATTAATCAGATCAATGAGTTCGTTGGCCTTTAATCTATTATCCTACTGTCTTTGATATTCAAAGATTGGATTCAACGCCTTCCAAGATTAACAGACCATTAAAAAAGATTGGAGTCAATAGCAGAAGACAAGTGTCCACAATAAAAAAACTTTCAGAATAATCTACTTTACCGTTCTACTTCTAAAGCAAGTGAGAAATTTGAATACAAATTCAAAGAACAAGTTAAGTTATAATTTCAAGGTCAAAACTATGACAAGGAAAAAAAAACATAGTCATGTTTGACATATACATAACGATAACAGTTCAATGAAATCCTACGACATGCATGATTTCTATTGAAACCAATGGTGTCAACATGTTATCACGCATGAGTTTCCTCACACTCCGCTGTTGGGCACAACAAGCCATTGGTCAAACTAAACAACGCATGACATATCAAGATTGTGTACTAAGTTTGAAACGGAAGGAAAGAGAATTGCTAAAGAAATGGCAGCAGGTTATTGAAAAAATGTTTGTGTGTATGCTAAAAACCTTAAGGTATTACCAATTCACGGCAACTGAAAATTGCAACGCCGCAAGATTATGAAAGACTCGCGGTTATGTAATTTGCACTTTTCTGAATCTCGGCTTATTCAACATTGTGTGAATAAGCCTACAAGCGTCCGCGGCCTAAGGAAAAGTATTATTAGATAGAGTTGATTTCAAGCATGCTAAGCAATCGGCGAAGTGATCGTCTTTCTGGATGGATGATTGGAGCTATTCAATGCACTAAACTCTTGGTGGACAGAAGCAATACTAAATGCAACATGAATTCAATTTACTGCGCATTTGGAGATGACAAAAATGACTCACTTCCTCATACAAATGGCTTTTTGACAAGACCCACCTTCGGCTTGGAAAACATGGCGATACGTTGTGGTGGGGATATTCAATGTGGAGGTTGGAGGGCCTGAAATGACAACAGTTGGATATGCTCATTCGGGTGGTAGAACTAACTTAGTTAAGGAACAGTGAACAATCTGTGCACAAGAAGTCAACTAAAGAAGCCGTTCACTTCACAGAATTAACAATAAGTTAAAAACGGCACACAAAATTGCAATTAATCAAGGAACTAAACGGTAAGCGATGTGTAAACCGAAATTACCTTTAATCTACCCTCTATCTTATAGATTGGTTACCTTCACACGGTTCCGCCAACTTAACAAGTAATTATTCGGATAAGGTGGAAGTTAAACCGCCATTACTTTTACTCTACACTCTACCTTACCCATTGATTATCTTCCTAATTTTATCACTAACTTTTATCTTTTATCCTTGAGTAATATGTATTTTACCTTACGTTGCCAAGGTCTATCCTCAGGTGCAAAAAAAATGTTGCAATATTTTTTATTTGTAACATATATCAATGTATTGCAAGTATGAAGTTGTTACTTTATAGATATATCATTTGTTACCACATAATCATTATGTGGTTGCCATTACTAAGTTGGCATCACCATAACCATTATGGTGTTTCCAACTTAGTGAAATTCAATTTAGGTTTATAATAAGAAATGAAAATGCATTCAAGAAGTTAAGTCTAGGTTAAAGAACTATGATGTTAACATTGGTTCTTGAGTAGATTTCTTTGATTTTTTACATGTGATACAAAAGAATCAGATTATAATTTTCTTAAAAACCTTATATTTTGCAATGATTTTTTTTTGTGGAAATTTTAAGGAGAAAATTAAAATTCATTGTATAAGTGAAAAGAAATACTAATTTGAATGTAAAAAACCAAAAAAACATTTAAACATATCATAACATATATATAATATTATGATATGATAAATTATGTATAATTATTATTTTAACTATGTTTTAATGTTTTAAGTAAAATGATCATGTCTAAATTCAATTAATATATTATATGTTGCTTTAAATTTTATAGATAATTTTTCTTATGAATTGACTTTATTGCAAAATTATACTCTCATGATTGATTTTGAATTGGATTGTATTGTAATCAAATATCAACGTATCAACAAATGTATTTTAAGAGTAAAAAAATATTAGAAATATTGTATTACATTTATTATCATATCGTCAAAGTATAAATATATGAGTCTAGTCATTGTACATCATTCTCACAATAACATAGAAGAAAATGCTGTAGGTTTATTATTAAACAACTATTACTCTAATTGTTGAAAGTGTTTTTTGCATCATAAAATTAACAAAATTGCTTGATAGAACTCATCAAGTTTAGTTTTATATGATGGGATCCCACCTACGGCACACCGTCACCAACTTCTGAAAGGTGTTCCTATACTAAGGCTCACATCATATAAGAGTTTCAATGAACATCTGCGATTGCAAATCTCAAATGAATGAAATGTGATAGACATTCTCACAGAGGTTTTGGGTTTTGAGCTATCGGAAATTAGACTCGGTGAGGAATAGTGAAATAGTGAAATTTGTCAAGAAAATTCAATAGGAAGGAAGCGGAGGACTTGTGAATTCAAATGTCAGATAATTTTATAAATTTTGGTGCAATTGGACTCGGACAAAGAAGTATTCGGATCCAATTGCGATGAATGGAGATTTGAGTGATTCAATGAGGAGTACGAGACAGTCTCGCTGTCACAGTTCCACTACCTACCCCGTTTGTTCACACAAGAACATGAGTCACGTGTATTTTTGGAGGGTTTTCATCGGGTAAAACATAACTTAAAGTGTATTTTTGGAGGGTTTTCATAGGGTAAAACATAACTTAAAGTATCCCAGTAAGCTTTTTAGTTTCATATGGGGTCCCATCAAACAAATACTTCCACACACTAGAGACGAAAAATTTCTTCTATTAGTCACATCAAACTTTTCACTAATTCAATACTTATTTACAACTTTGATACTCTTATTTACTCTGCATGAAAAACCTATAATGGCAAATTATTTGAGGCAAAATCAATCAAAAGCCATTAGATATCATGATCGAAGATAACTACTAACGAGTATTGGCCAAAAATGAAGAAAAAATGATCGTAAATTTTTTTCAGTTTGTTAAAAAATTATATGTTGATGTTAGATCTAACACATCTTGCCAAAAGATATGATGTTGAAAAGAATTCAGCATGAAAACAATAAACTTTCAACTATGTTCAATTAACTTTTTGAACATAGATGAAATAAAAATAATGCATTCTCATAGATGAGAAACTTCTAATGAAATTTGTGAAAGTTTTTGATGCCATGCACAAAGTGCATGAACCCAAATCCGATCTATGAAGCTTTAGCATTTGCAATGATCAAACATTCATTTGAGGAACGAAGAGTTGTTGCAAAGTGAACAATTCAAGCGAAATTAATTGTTTATAAGATCAGCAAGAATATAAATTCAAATGCTAATTGTAGAAGAACAAAATTGCGATTACATTGTGTAAGCAACTTGCAATTTCCAAAACTGTTTTCATGAGAGGTATATTGCATGGTTGAAATGATTGATAGTTTTGACAAGAAGTGTTTTGACTATAGAATCAACATATGTCATGACTTAGATTTTGAGTGATTGACACAACTTGAAAATTGATGTGATTTTAAGGCAAGTTTGCAAAGTCTTTGCAAGATTTTAAAGTATTTATTAGAGTTTAAAATCTGAATCCTCTACTCTATTCTAGATACCAAAATAGTACCAACTTTTTTAAATAGAAAATGTTGTGTTAGTTCAACAAATCATGGTAAAACTTAACTCAAAACCAAATTCCATATCTAACATGTACATAATCACGTAACTTATATCAATTTGAAGTAAAAATTTAGACTGTACACAACTTATTGATACAATCATTAAAAAGTTAAGTTGACGTAAATTATGATGTACCATACGAGAAGAGGAAGGTTCACTGAGTTTTCGTTGATAATCATATTTGTGTATGTGCTATTTTTCAAAAAACACATGCATCTCTTTTACAAATTATTCTATCCAAACACATGAAAAGGTTTTCAGAAAATTTTAAATAGATACATATCACCATTTCTTCTTAAGCTTCTCTTTTCTTTCCAGATCTAATAATCAAACTTTTTGTTCCTTTGTTTTGTCAATATCTATTAAAAAATTTAGGCTGTATGCATACAGAAATAAAATAAAGATTTACAATACATCATGACCCCATTAGCATGTAGACAGGTTTAGTGAATTTATAACCAAGTTGTTGCTGTATCTTTGATCTTACTTCTTTGGGCTTTCCAACCTACTGCCTGCAGACGAGGAAAGGAAGAGTAGGGTGTTGCCCCTCGACTTCAATCACTACCCTCGGAGACCTGGCGCCTTCCAGTTCAAGTTTTTTAAATCCACAAGGACTTGACGACGAAGAACACGATCTGACTTTTATTTGACTTCAAAGCCCTTAATCTCCTCTTTTGTTTTGTCCTCATGACAGACAATTTTACCCTGAAGTCAGCCACGATGTATTGAAAGTTGCTGGTATCTAAACGAGGAAGCTGATGCCATCGAGACATACAAGCCTGTTTTGGAGCATTTGTGGGGAAATCAATATGGTATCTGAGAAACATTTGGATTTGACAAAACCAATTGATGTCGTGTGTTCTTACAGGCCACTGACAAAAAGTCAGAAGCTCTCGCCGGCACAATTAAACATAGAATCGAGAAACCGAGTAGTATAACGGATGGAAGAGTTTGGCAAGTAGCTCAAGGGTGAAACCATATAAGTAAGATGTGGCCTTGTCCACATGATATTGCAACGAGTCTTTTTATTGTATCTGATAATACAATATAAAACTAGTATTTAAATTTCTCTAATAATTCTCGTTTTCTCTTTCATTTTTGAAAATTTCAGTTAAATTTATGTAAAGAAGATTCCTTCATTCTATTTGATAAGTTTTTCTGGATGAATTATTCGTAAAAAATAGATAATTTGGAGTTTTTAAGTACAATACTATACGTCCCATAGGGTCTTCCCATCGTATGCTAGATTTAAAAGCAGCCTCTCATGTTCAACTGGAACACTCTCGCCCACGTATATACATTGACGAACTTGTGGACCTACGCTTTGCCGTCGAAGAAACGACAGTTGCCGTCGTTGCTAAGATTTCCGACGCTACAGGTGCCTGGCTTCCCGGCTCACATTGCCACTTCTCCAACTTTGCTTGGTCCGCGTGGCAAGCACGGATGCCCACCAATCGTCTCCTTCGTCGCCCTAATTTGCTTAGACAATTGATTCTTCTAAGCTGCTTTTATTTCAGCTGGCATTAAATTGCTGACCCTGCTACTTTCAGTTAGTTTTTGACAAGCTGCAGTTGAGGAAAATTTCGATCGATCGGATCAACTGAAGTCCTGCACGGAGCTTCCCAATTGTAATCGACTTGTGAATTGGGATTGCGTATCATAATTGGCGTCGACGATGGCTCTAGTAAAGGCCCAAACTCTCGTATCCGAGAATGCGGTGGTGGTTTTCAGGTATCAATGATCCAACCCGACTGAGAGAACGCGACTTTCAATCTGGTCGTATGCTCTTTTCTCGAAGATGTGTTTGAGTGTGACACTCAATCTTTTAATTTTTGCATTGAATAAGATCAGGAGTCCAGTTTCTGAACCACACTTTTGCTGAGAATTGTGCAGTTTTTTGGATTTTCACCCGAAATCTGAGAATTCTTCTAGGTTGCTTTTCACTTTTCTGAAATGGTGATACTGCACGTGAACAACGTATGTATCTTGGCCTGGATCGCAACTTACGAGTGCGTCTTAAGTCTAGATGAAGACGAAAAGTCCGCAACTCTCATGAACTCGTCTTTCTTTCAACAGTTTGACGCTTCTCTTGTCCAATGTTTCCTGATCAACATACTGACTCCTGCGTGGATATATAACATCATGAATTACGAATAGCATTCATACTGTAAGACGAGTAGTTAAACTTACTTTTAGGAGCCATTGCTCTGAAAGACCTGTTTAGTCTTCCATGCCTAGGAAATCGGCTCGGTGAAGAAATTGTGCTGGAAATTGAACAAAAATGACAATCAGATTGTCGCTTGATGGACTCATGTTAACACGAGGCAGCGTTGTAGTGGCTCAGCAGTTATCCTTGTCGAGTTTAGGTTTGTTGGTTGGAAAGATCTCAATATTTAGATCTTGCTCTAGGCTAATTGTAAGAAGGACCCGAAGTAACTTTCAGATTGAGTGTCGCGGCTCTGGCAAATTCCTATCACAATTTGTCTGGAAATTGGAAATCAATGACGTCATTGGAAAAGACGATTAGTCTGACAATGTGAAACTATGATTATGCTCGCTTTGGATCTAGGTGAACATGTGTCTTAGACAAAGAGTGTTTTTATGAGCAAGGTTGTACTTTATTTTAGATAGGTGATGTCTCTGCTGTCGACGCAAGCTGTCTCGTATACTGTCAAAACGAATGTCATGACAATTGAACTCTTTTGTGAAAAAAGGACGGTCGTTTGCTGAAGTGATAGGAAACCGCTGTGATTATATGGTCTGCTGATTGAATATATCACTGTGGCGTCTAGTTGGCTCCAGGAAGTGCTGCATGAAACTGGAGTTTATTCCTTCTGGAGAACCTTTACAAGTAAAAAGTGCTGTGCCCTGACAAAATTCAGTGAATTGACGATGTGATTTATAAGCGGGGTATGCATACTAGTCAGTACAGTGCGTTGACGAGTGCACTTTGTCCTTGCAGCAAGTCATATTGCCCGTACTGTATAAAAGTGAAGCAGCTGTTATCGAGCTTGGGGGCTAAAATGAAGGTCGTGGAGCTTGACGATGAAAGTGAGTTATCCTACTCCACAGTTGAAATGAAAGAGCATTAGAACGAACATATCACCGTAGACATTATATCTGACATTCATTTCACGCACCCGTCTGTGTAGAGGATGGAGACGAAATTCAGTCAGCTCTAGCTAAGTGGACTAAACAACGCACTGTTCCAAATGTGTTCGTCGGAGGGCAACACATCGGTGGATGCGATGGTCAGTATTTTTCTAAAAACTTTTGAGTTCTATCATCTTTAATTGGTTATTTACTATCCTTATTAACGCTTTCGACCTGGAAACTCCGCGTGGTACGAAAGCTGGAATAGGGACAGGACGTTAGAGAGGTGGTTGTAATTTTCAGAGGAGCTGCAGCTGCTATAAATCGTTCGTGCGAGGTTCATTGTTGTCTGTCAGATACTTGTGTGTTTGAATGCCAAAGCTGCATTATGCATGTGCATTGAAGGATTTGAGTCCACACTTTTGGTCGTCGCAGATACGGTCTCCAAGCACAACGGTGGAAAGCTCTTACCAATGCTGAAGGAAGCAGGTGCTGTGTAAAATGCTTCATTGGATCTTTGTCACCAACAGGCATGCAACATGCTGTGAGCTGCCGCCAGATGCTGTCCTCCATGTATCGATTCGTCTGAAGAAAGCAATAAGCTTTGGATGTATATACTCTGTACTTAGTTTTAGTATTTCAAGTTTATTTAACAAGATGAGGAGTTAATAAAGTCTTGTTTTGGATTTACTTCAGATCATGGGCATTTAACATCTAATGAAACTATTGGTACACAAGTTTCAGACGCAGTTCTGAATCTTCATTTTCACCGATTCGTCCTCGGAGATTTGGTCGATACTTATCATCTTATCATTTACCCTTGTACAAGTGAGGAAGTGATTATAGACCAACCTCCGACAATATTTGCATTGATAATTTAGTTCAGATTTTGATTTTTGCATAAATATTGAATGTATTTGTTGAGGATATGAGATTGTGGGATAGAGAGGAGGAATCGTTCTTTCTCTGTAAGTAGTCGTAGGATTATATTTTTTTATTCTTAAGCATTCATCCCATCTATTGGAACGGATCTATGAAACACAAACCACAAAACAAGATTTTTCTCACTCTGACTTCTTTTCAAAGACTGGTCAAAATGAACATGTTTGTTTTCTCCAAGCCACACCAAAACATAGATATAATATAATGGAACTGTACAAATTTTAACTAAAATCACCTCGTGAAAAAAAAAATGCTAAAGTATACAACAACAACCTGAGGGCCACAATGAAAAAGACGAAAAAATGAAATATTTTAAGAAAATATTATCATGACGTTTCTGAGAAATCTATCCAGTTCAAAAGCAATAATAAATTTAAAACATTAAATGAAAGTAAATTCGATAAAAAAATACGCATAAAACTGTGTACAATATGAATACTATATTGTATACATTTATGAATTCCCCTAAAAACTGGTATTTAAAAGGGAAATTACAAAAGAGGGAAAAAAATAACTTACGACAAAATTGCAACATAAATAAAAGTTAACTATTTGTACATGTAAACTTTTTCGTTAAACTTGAATACATAAGTAGACTACTAACTTACTTCCAAAGTAGTTTTATATTTGATATTTTTTTTTAAAGGTTGAAAAATCCCAAATTTGTTAATTCTAAATGACAGCCATAAATTATTATCGTGAAAAAAATTATAAATCAATTTTTAACAATTTACTGATTTAAATTGAATAGGAGGTAAAGTAATTTTTTTTAAAAAAGACAAAAAAAATATAAGATGTATGGATGAAGAACACAAAAATTTATCACTTATTGATTAAAAAAAAAATTAAAAAAAATTAAATTGCCTTCTTAATAAACTCAATCTTACAACAAATATCAAAATGTTCTATATGTATAATAATTTGCAAGAAATATAGGTAAATGATGTGGTGAAATATATCTTTCACCACATCATTTTTTTAAACTTCTTGCCATCGATATGTAATCAATTTATTATACTGAAAAAAACTTAACACTTTTGTGAAAATTTTAATAGTTCAATGCAAAAATATAATTTCTTTGATATACATGAAACATTTTAGTAAAAAGATTTAGTTGTAATTAAATCCATCTTCTAAAGAATTGATTTTACAAGTTGTCATCTTTAAAATTAACATCTTCTTAATAATCAATTTTGTTTAAAGCTCTTCAATACAATTATTTTAAAAAATTTAAAAGAATTATCACCAATTGTTATTGTGTTTGATACATATTTTTTGCAATATAATAGCATAATCAATCAAAATAGTTATGTTTCTATTCAATAATTTGAATCATTTTGCTATAGATAAAAACAAATATATAAGCGCAAGATAGGATCAACATTGCAAATTCAAAAAAATCATTTACTTTCATTTTGGGCAAAAGATGAAGTTTTATTAGCGCAAAATGTCAAGAAATCATCTTAAAACTGAACCTCAAGAATTTTACAAAAATTATATTTTTAAAAATTATTAGAAGGTAATTTTTCGTAATATTATATTCACAACATCAAGACAAAAGTGCTTGATTATTTTAATAAATTTTCTCATCTTGAGAAAAATGAAAAAATGGTATTATCACTAATAAAGTGTTTTTATTTGAAAAATAATAATAATATTATAGAGATTGCAAAAAATAATATTTTATTAATGTAGATTTAAGTTTGTTAATAAAAAACTGTCTAAAATTGACAATAATAAGATGTTAACAACACATGCTCTAAAACTATATTTTTTTGCATTGTAAGTAAGCTCAAAGATTTTTTGTTATATTGGTAATAAAAAATATTTTTATATTTTTAGTATAACAGATTGCATAAATTTTCACATATTATAATCTAACCATTTCATCAATGATAAAAATAATGATCCAGAGATACAATATTCCTCTAAAAATTATATCATTGTGAGGAAATTTTATACCATCAATATGTTTTCTGGATCAAAACGTACACTTCATTTTTTTTTTCACAAATAATTGCTTCTCGAAAGATTTGTGATTGGAATAAGGTGATGATTTTGGGCCAAAATATTTCACGAATGGTGAAAAATGATATTATTTATATCCTATATAAATATATTTTTATATTAATATCCTTATATGATTGATTTACAATAAAGTTTAGAATAAAAAATTATATAGTAAAATTTATAAACAAGCTACCAAAAACTGTGTTGTAGATTTGACAAAATAGAATAAAATTATATGAAGATAAACATATCTATAATTAACTGAATGTGCTTTTATGCACAAATAGATTTTATAATTATACAGTATATAAAATTTTCATGGTGCTTAATTTTTATCAAAATTTTAATTTGATAAAAATTAAATGCATACTTTTTATTTTATTTATCGTGAATATTTATTAGTTTATCCTTCTTATGCGATATCTCCTTTAAGATAGAATGATATTTGATATTGATGTGTTTTACCTTGTAATGCATGATGATCGTCACACACACAAAATTAACAATGTCATCTTGAGGTCTTACAAATCTTTCATTTTGAATATAAATCTGGTTGATACTTTCATTTATTAACATTGTCTTGCTACTTTGAAAAAAAACGTGGAAAACACAATAGTTACTAGAAATCTGAATCATATATACACATGGTTTAAACATAATATATAAATCTGCTGAAATCTTCTCTGAAATCTTCAGTACATGAATTGTATCAAACTCATGTGGAATGACTAACAAGATTCAGGAACTTATGAAAACACAAAATAATTTTCACAATATATTTGATATATATTTCTATAGGAAGAAAATGATTAATTAGAAATTTAGTCTTTTATTTTAGTATGGCGTCTATTTTTGTGCAAGCAAATATTTTGAACTTATCCACATTTCATACTTAACTTCTCACATTTTTATTTTATCAACAAACCTTATGGCATTAGTCACAAGAGTTAAAGACTTTTGCCAAGGGTGATAGTATCGAGTGTTTAACTTATGCTCAATAATTTGATCATCAGAGTTGAGGCGCATAGTTCCTGATATATCTTTTGAGTGAGAGGTTCAACACGGACATTCAATACAAATAAATTTATGTTGAATTTCATTATCTTGTCTTTTTTCAAAGTAGCTTTTCGTAGATCATTCTACAGAACAGTATACTGTTGTTTCTCAATAATTTTTAGAGGAGATTAGAAAGCTTCTAGAACAATTGCTTTGGTCACCTTATTTTGTGTGTTTTTTTAAAATAAAAATTTAAGTACAAGTCATTACTTCGTAAACCTCATTATTGTTGCTTTGTCGTGCGAATATGTATCGCCATACACTCTACATCGCTGACATGTTACTCACATACACACACACACACACACACACATGACACAAGAGTGTACACACTCAAATGTACCATAACTGAATTTAAACGTGGGTACCCCGCTGGCAAACACGTCAGATCTGATTATTCCACTGGCAAAAACGATCGTCATACATACATAAGTCAAGCCCAACCCATTTGTCTTGAGAATCAAGGTCGACGCTTTTGGCACTCACTAGTCCTAAAGCTATAGGCTTGATTCAAAGAACTAAACGTTCTTCGAGTCGTCGTCGACCCTATACCCTCCGTTAACAGTAATCCTAAATTGACGGCTAAATATAGTATATACAAAAATACATGATAGTTGTTGTGCAAATATGTATTGCTATACACTCTACATCGTTGACATGCTACTCACATACACAAGAACGTACAAACTCAAATATACCACAACTCGCCCCCCCTAGCTGATGGTCAAGTCCCTCTAGCTCCCAAGTAATCCTATCTATAACTACATGCTATACACCTTCATGGGTGTGCAAACCAATAAGCCGGATGCTATGTTAGTTTCCTATTTACAATCCATAACATGTGAAGATCAAGTCATCTACTCCTCCGAAGTACATCGAGGATAAACCCATTGTTTAGCCAGAACAACATCGATAAGTGGAATCAGACACGACATGTTCTATCCCCTAGAACACCTATCACACATCAACATACAAGCCGTCTTACCAACTGACCCACATAGCATGCACCTCAAGCCAACACAAACTATTACTCAGCTTGAGTCCTTAGTATCATCCACATTTGGGAGGTGACATGGCGCACAATTGCGCACATGATTCTTTTAAGCAACACCGTCACGACCCTCCAACATGAGATGTTCTAGAAAATAACACCTCTCGCACTTGCAAGATAGTGAGTCCGGCTGTCACATCCAATGTTGTCAGTGCAGTTTGTTGTAGATAGACGTAGTCTTCCACATGAAACTTACAAATTGATGGTCCATAACCTCCTCCCCGAATGTTTGCATACCGCAACGTATCTCTATGTTGAATAATCGCAAGATTCTCAAACGCTGTAGGCATAATTCCTATAAAAGAGCTTTGCACGTTGAGAACATACTCTCACCCACATGTTCGGATCATCAAGGTTCACCATCTCGCTAGACTCACAACGAATCGATGTTGGCAGATCTGGATCTCGACCGTACAAAAGAAAATATGATGAGAAGGAAGCCAATGATGCTTGACAACTTAACCGATATCCCATGAACAACCATGGTAACCGAATATTCCAGTCCTCAAGATGCACCTAGGCCATACTTGCGTAACATCTTTTTCACCGTCTGTACAACACGTTCAGCCAAATCATCCGCCTCCGGATGATCTCGAGACGTGGTTCAATGATCAATCAGTGCCTTGTCACACAAAACATGAAACTCTAAACCTTGATTGATGAACACCTTAGCTGGTGCACAAAAGTGACTAAACATCATGTCAAGAAAGGCATACTCTG